AGTTATTTCCTGTTTACCTCTTGTGAGTATAATACTTTGGCTCTGACAAGATATCATGACAATAACAGTATTCTATGAAGTTATTTTCTATTGTCGTCTTCTTCACCACACACCACTTCAGCTTTCATCTAAAGAAGAACCCTCTTGTCTAAACGCAAGGTGGCGCTGGGTGGTAACTTCTTGGGTGAAATTTGACCACAGAAGAAGTCGTGTTTCTAGGCAACACAGCACAACTTTGCTCTGTGGTGAGAAAACTAGCGGTTATTTGGGTGTTTTATTTTCCTTTTGTCGTCGAACTGTTTATTTTAGGTGATATTTTGAGGATTTTGTAGAAAATAAGCTCGGGTTGAATAGCTTTTGAGCTGTATTCATGAAGAGCGAGTTAGCTAAATGCGAACGGGTGGCACACATCCACTAGAGCAGCAACAGGGTAACCGAGTACGTTTGTGTCGTGTTTTTTTTTTTTTACCTTATCTGTGTCGAGATTTAACCCCAAATCGTGCTAAATGTCCGGTCATTACCGCGTGTGTGGCCCCGTTCATATAAGTTCTGGGTTGAGTATTTGACAAATGATGGGTCTCATTTTCTGTATAAACGCAGGCAAAAAAAAAAAAAAAAAAAAAAAAAACAATCCATAGCTGTGATAATCTGCTGCAAAGAAGTGTGCTCCATGCTACAGAGATCAACGCAGGGACAAACATAACCAATATGTTTTATTTGAAAAAATTAAGGAAGAAGCATAAGTAAACACACAACATACAGGTCTCTTCATTTTAATACTGGTTTTGTTTCAGATTATGAAAGAGTCAGTATCTCTGAAGTCATCACGTAACACCTTCCTGTTAATATCATAATTAGACCTACTACAGTCTCATTTCGCCTGTTTATCTATGACCTGCTTACGACCTTGTTTATTTTTAATGTTGCCAAGTCAGCTGTTAGCCAGAAAGTCCCAGATTCTTTATTTAAACCATGTTCTACCTTCTGTAGGTCTGCTTTGGTTGCGAATGCCTAAGCTGTGGTTATTTTTCTCAGTGTCTGCTTGAAGGTTTTAAGACTCTGGCAGCACAGAAACAATACCACCATATTTGTAGATACATACATCTTTGTAACATGGTATACAAATTGTTTTAGTATGTTTGTTATGATGTGTGGGTAAAGTTAACTAGTGTTTTAAAGACTTTGTGTATTTTTTATTTCATTGTATCATTTCATTGTGCAGGAATGCTTCCAATGGAGCACATCCACCTCAAAAATGTCCTGCAGACAGTGTGTGCCCTGGAGTCTGTCATCCTTCGCAGTTTTGGCCCTGAAGGAGGACAGGTGTTGTTTACCCGCGATACTGGACAGGTAATGTTGAGCCGCAGTGGAGCACGCATTCTCACAGCCCTGCATCTGGAGCATCCACTTGCCAGGTTAGGGCAAAAGCACCTCTTTTGTACTATTTTCTTCTATTATTTGTCGTGTTGTCGACTCTGTTGTGACATTCTTTATATTTTTTTCTCCCCCTTTAGGATTGTGGTGGAGTGTGTCCGGAAGCACAGCGCGTCAGTAGGTGATGGATCCAAGACCTTTATTTTACTACTTGCATCATGTCTGCGAATGATTCATGCCACAGCCTGCAAGGAGCCTAATGTGTCTCAGTCTTATAACTCTACAGGAGCAGCAGAAGCCTCTGCTGCCAGGCGCCTGGCTGACAAACTGCTAGCGTTTGCGTTGACAGAATTGGATGATCTCATTGCAGCTAACGTGGTGCCACATGGATTCTGTGTCTCGCTGGAGGATTTTACAACAAAAACAAAGCTACCAGCTCACTCTAATAGCCTCTCTGCTAAGATGCTTTTATCATCATTTTTTCACACGCGTCTTGGTTATGTGCACTGTGACTTTTTTAGTGATCTCACGTGTGACATGCTCAGACATTGGGAGTTTAAAGGTGACCAGCTTTTCTCCGCCCTTCAGTTTTTAAATGACAACTTTCCAGCACTGCATACACAAGTATCAGGTCTCCCTGTTGGCTCTTCACGTCTGATTGAGGGACAGGTCATTCAGAGAGATTTTGCCACGCCGTTCCTCCAGGTTAACAAGAAGACGGTCAAAGCTGTAGCTTTCACCGGGTACCTGCAGCCAAAATTACTAAACCCAGGAGATGTGCTTGAGTTGGAGAAAACAAGTATTATGCACTTTAATGCTTGGACAGAAAGGTCAGTCGAGTGCCTTATTAAAACTCTGCAGAGTTTAGGCGTCTCTGTGCTTTTTTGTGAAGCGAAGCAATCAGCTGCTGTCCTGGCTTTAGCCACACATGCAGGCATAAGTGTTGTGGAGTGTGTCAGTGAAGAAGAGCTCTCTCTGTTTGCTCGGCTAAGTGGGGTAACACCTGTCTCAGACTGTTGGATGGTTCAACCAGAGAATGTAGCTACGCTGAGTTTTTGCAGGCCGATACTTCTCGGAGCACACAGGTATGCATACACGTCAGGGGTTTTCAATATGCTTATGTTTTCCTCTAATTTGCCTAAACGTGTTCTTTTTTAAACACAGGTATGTCCATGTGGCGTTCTGTGACTCTGAAGAAGGACTTAAACCTTGTAGTCTGGTGATTTGTGCTCCAGGAGAAGGACAAGCAGACCAGTGTGCAAAGGCAATTCAAGATGCAAATCGTATGCTTCTTACAACAATGCAGCCCGTGTGTTTGCACAAAACCACAGCACTAAATAAATGTGAAATCACACGTTTACATGCAGCTAGTCTACCCAAAGACGGTGCAAACAGATGTGATATTGGTGTGTTGAAGCCAGGTTGTGTGATACCTGGTGGTGGAACGTTTGAGTTCCTCTTGCACTGTTCTCTCCTACAACACCACAGCTCCGTTTCTAATCCCACTAACACGGATGTCCATATTTCCCGGATTTTGGCGAAGGCTCTCTTGGTCGTTCCTTGCCAGATTTACTGTCGCAATCCAAAAGGTTTCCTGCAGACCCAAACCAGGGTTATGAGTTTGATTTCAAAACAACCTCGCATGTGTTGGCTGTTAAAAGAAACTCAAAACCCAAAGCCCAATCAGGCCGAGGATCCTGAGAAGGGTGCTTTCATGACGAACACGGGCCTTGACTCCATCTCCTGTAAATCCCAGCTGCTTTTGGATGTGTTGCAGTGCGTCACAAGTCTCCTCCAAGTAAATATGATGTTTCGGACACACATGGCTTTACAAAAAACACATAAAATCACAAACACTTCCTGGGAGCAGACAGAGGATGAGACTGAGGACTGAGTGTGTGTTGCATTTAGCAGCCATCTTTGTTTAACTTTAGGCTGTTCCTGCTGCTCCTTTATCACAAGCCTTTGAACTGGAAAAATAAATATTTTATGAGTATTTTGTGTTTCAGGATCTGCTTTTAATCTCTTAGGTGTGTTCTTGCTGTGTCGTGGTTCTAATTCCATGCTTTCGTTCTTTTTAAACACAGAAACAGTTTTGTTTACCTGTTTTGTAGCTACAGTTTCGCCGATGAGAAGCCGGCAGCCGTCGGCGAAACTAGCTACAAAACAAGTAAACAAAACTGTTTCTGTGTTTAAAAAGAACGAAAGCATGGAATCTGCTTTTAATTGTTTCTGATTAGTTTTTTTTTTCTGAGTCTGCTCACCTGTTCCTGCTTAGCACCTGATCTTCCTGTATATTCCTGCACTCTGTTAAGTTCACCTGCCTGCCTCCTCTGAGTCTTTCCCTGCACTTGGGTGACCCAAGTGACGGACAATAGAGAGCCTTTCCGGTCGGCTCATGGGTCCCGGGAAGAATGAAAAAATTCAAGTCAAAGGGGCTGTGGTGGTTCTGACTGCAAAGTTTGTTGTCCCTCTGGGGCCCCCTTGTGGCCTGGGGGGGGGGGGGGGGGGGGGGGGGGGGGGCAAAAGCAATTGCTTGTCCTGCCTACCAGCAAGCGGCACCTCTGCTTGGGTACATTACCATCCTTCCATCCATTTTCTCTACCAGCCAGGGGCGGCGTTAGGCCCGGCTACTTGGGCTGAAGCCCCGGATCTTTCATGATAAGCCCCGGATCTAAATCGCGGAAGTAACATGCAGTACCAAAGTCACACAGAGAGGGCGCAGCTGGCAGTAGTTTGTAAAGTCCCATTTAGTCGTCACACACACAGGTGTGTGGTGAAATTTATTCTCCGATTTTGACCCATCCCCTGAGTTGCAGACACGCCGCGCTCTTGGTGGTTTAACCCCCCAATCCAACCCCAATCCAATGCTGAGTGTCAAGCAGGGAGGCATTGGGTCCCATTTTTCTCAAAATCTTTGGTATGACCCAACCAGGAGTCGAACCCCTGATCTCCCGATCTCAGGGCAGACACTCTACCACTAGGCTACTTAGTCAGTATACAGTTTACCTGAGACTGAAGAGAAGCCCTTCAGCAGCTGGCTTCTGCAGTCTGTCTGAAACGCATGAGTGAAGATGGATATAAGGACGTTTTTTTAGACCAAAAGTACAACGACAGAACCCCAGCTCTGATGAGACTGGTGTTGACTCAGGTTTGTGAGTCTTATTTGAAAATATTTGTTGTGCTGCTGGTTTGCCTAAAGTTAGCTTACTATCAGGTAAAGTTGTTGGAGAAAGAAAGGGAATATTCACTATCATCTCACACTAAACACTAACAGGAACAATACTCTGCCCTGAATATGCTGAATATGTAGCTTCAGATTAAACATTATGTGGTACAAGACAAATATATATGATGTTGACTAGTGCGTGTCACGTGTGTGCGCGCATGCGTGTGTGTGCGCGTGCGTGTGTGTGCGCGCGCGTGTGTGTTAAGCCCCGGATCTTCTTCAGTCCTAAATCCGCCCCTGCTACCAGCGTATGCACGTAGGGTCGTGGGGGGCTGGTGCCTATACCCAGCAGTCTTCGGTTGAACAGGCGGGGTACACCCTGGACAGATTGCCAGTTCATTGCAGGGGTCCAATACCAGCAAAAGCAAATAAGATGTTTAAATGGTTTTGAGAAAAAAAAAATCGTCCATTAATTTTATTTAGTGCAAGTTGTACATTTTGGAAATTTGATGCCTATCTAAACATCTCTTTCATAACTTTGTTTTCCTAGCATTTTTATTTCGCTTTTAAAGTTTTGGTTACATAAAACGCACTCTCGTAGGAAAATTAGTATTGCCTTACAAATATTTACACACACACACTCTGTATAATCAGGCTTATCTTCACAGACTTTTTGGGAGGGCAGAATTTGACTTTGATCAAAGTTTTTGTTGTGAGCTTTCTCGTGCCGTAATCAAAGCAGCACAAATGCTGTTTTCACCTCTTATTTTCAGGGAAACGGTGAGTCATTCAAACATTAACCAGAATCACACCAGGCTGTTTACTGTGACTTCTGCATCCTTAGTTTTCCAGATTTCATAATTTCACTGGCAGTCACTCAGGAACAAAGGCAGCTCTCGGCTTTATGATCTTTATGAGTCACGGTTGGTTATCAGTAACGTTAATGAGGGATAAAGTGGGAGTGGGGCTTTCCTCTGCAAGCAAGTCTAAGAAGTTGTCCATCTTACACGTATCCACTGGTTTTGTCCTTGCACGCCCTGTTGTAGTGCACACCAACCAGTCCATTTGCAAAGTCAACGTAATACAGTTTACTTTATTTGGTTCTTGTTAACATCTGACTCTGTGAAACAGTGCAATAAACAAACCCAATCTATCAAATTAACAGAACATTACAAAATACAATATTAATCTGCATGTACCATATAAACAGCAACCATTAGAAAACATACAAAAAAATGAGTACAAAATGTGGAAAAAAAAGTTTCAGACTAAGAGGGATAAGAAAAAATGGCATCACACTGTGGGAATAACGGTGCTACTCATCCCAAACTTGTTTAAACTACAGTCAGTGTAAAATTCTGAGCTTGGTATTCATTTGGCTTCTTGTCACCGTGATGCAAGTGATAACGATTGAATGTGATCAATACAAGATGCTGGGAAAGTTAGAATCTCACAATAGCTCATTTCAGTAAAATGATCACAAAATAACACGTTTTCAGCACAACACTGCCTCTGAAGCTGATGACACCCGTTTTATATGGGCTGAGTAACAACATGACATCTGTATCAGCAGCACAATCATAACTGAAGTTTTACTCCCGCTCACAGAGAATGTGAAGGTGATGCTGGGCTGCAAGTTTGGGCATGAGGTCTGCTTTAATGAAGAAACACATTTTTGTAATCTGAATAAATCTTTGGTTTTGTTGGTTTTAAGGATGTTGAGACTATTGTTAATAACAGGAGAGATTGTGATGGTAATAAATGAAAAGCTGTTTTGCACTTTCATGGAATGAATGGACCTTTTCTACATTTCTGTAACTCAGTGTGCTGTAGGATGCAACGGATGGACTTTGTGTGGCTGTAAAACTTTCAAATCTGAAACATCAAAAACAGACCAGTGTTCCAAAATTTGACCATGATTTTACCTCATTTTCCTCAGCCAATCTGTCATTTTCCAACATAAATATAATCAAAAGGCATTATCAACTTTAATATTGGTAATTAATATTTTCAATAATGTACTTTTCTATTTAACTTGCATTGGATCCATATGTTTTGCTGTCTTGTTAAACTTTTATAGAACCAGATTTTAGACACTAGTTTTATAGTTTATACATTATTATCTAATTTAGATGTTTTTTTTTCTGCTGGGCTTTTCCATAATAAGCGTTCTCAAAGCGAGCAAAATCTGCATATTCAAAAAGATATCATTAAAAACTCAGCACAGCACGATGCTACCTTCACATTCTCCGTAGTTATAAATATCTGCACCCAGGGCAAGCGTAGGTTAACCTCCTCAAACAAGCAGTGTTTCTGTTGGCAGTAGAGAGTCATGTAACTGGGAATGACATCATGCAAATTTACAGAAGATCATCAGATTGGCGTCACACCACCTCCCTGGACTTCCTTATGGCGCAGCACAGCAGCATGCTGAAGATCATGCCGAACACCTGTAACACAGTGTTTGGGTTAGCTCCCGTTAGCAACTCGTTTGTTCTCCGGGACAGAACTGGGTGGCAGTTGCAAACTCACCATGACAACCCCTATGGTGATGCCTACTCCTCCAATAATGTGTAACTTAGAGTTAAACATGTCCTCAATAACATCGGGACAGCTCTGCAATAAAAAAGCAACATTAAGTTTAGATGTAACACCTACGAGAAAGCCCGAGCATACGCAGACACAAGTAAACAGTTGTTGCTATGGTTACTCTGCAAGGAAGCTGAGGAAATTAATCTGAACAAGATGAGTAAATCTAAAATGTATTAGCAAATTCAGTTTTATTCTTTAATTGGGTGAAGCTCGATATTTATTCGATTCAAAAACATTAAATAATTGTACCTTAACAATGAGCTCCTCAAGTGGCTCTCCACGTGGACAAGTATCCTTTTCAGTTTCAACAGCCATACCATTTGGACCACAGCAGTTCAGCTGGAAAAACAGAAAGAAACATTGCTGATTAAAATGTTTTTGCCTTGGGTGACATGAAGGTGTGCTGGATGTTATTAAGGTTGAAAACAGCTGTAAGAACTATGAGCTCTCCCTCAGTTTTATGCAAAGCAATGCAAATAAGCTCACGACTCCAACAATACATGGAGAACTCAGCTGTTTAAAATGCATCCAGCATCTAGAAAGATAAACATTTGTGATTTTGGAAGAGTCAGCAACTCTGGAAAATACCTGTGATGATGAGAATAAACTAGAAAAGACTTTAAATTTGTGTTCAATACTCTTTGGGAGAAAATTCTTACATTTTTCTGTGATAAAAAAGAGGATTCAGTCAGAATTTTAAGGCCATAAAAAATGGCATACATTAAAAAAGATCATTGTTGGCCCTAGGAGACACCAGCTAAGACGTGTATGTAAAATTTAAATAAAATGTATAAAATCACAACTGTTATTTATCAAAATGGTTCAATTAAAATCAAATGTTGTAGTGTTCACCTAAACTGAACATGTTTAAACCATACAAATCTAATGTTTAGGACTTTCCTACTGGGGCAGCAAATTCCAGGTGTGGCATTTGTGCTTCATTTGGTCACTCCTCCAAAGAAGAAAAAATAAGGAAACTGCATGTCTCACTTGTGTTTGGATCAAACGAAGCGTCTCTTTGAGTCGTTCCTCTCCTGTTGTCTTATAATCATTGTACGTCTGCATGTAGAAGCTGTTGATGTCATCCACCACCTGTAACACAGGCATAAACCCTCTGGGATGAATTGGAATTGGATTTGATACACGTTATAGCAATATAAACACAACTTACTAGCACACTCCTTATTGTCTTTGGAAACTTTCACGCATCAGTCGTCTTAATTTGCTCACTTTGTGGTTCATTTTTGCCCCTTTTACCTTTTATAAGTCTATACCCAGTGCTCATTTGTAAAATATGTATATACGCACTATACACACACTCACACGCACACACGTAAAAAATAAAAAATAAAATACTTAGCACAAACATTTAGTAATGTATATACCTTACATACTATACATATTATTACTTAGATTAGCCATTTTTATATTTTGCTTGTTTTACGTTATTGTATTTTTGCACAACTCTGTTGCTGTGAAGCTCGCACACAAGAATTTTACTCGCATGTACTGTACCAGTGTATCTGCACATGTGACGTGACAATAAAAGTGATTTGATTTGATTTTGATTTGTAAACTGTTTTAGGTATTTATTCAAGCAATGCAGCTAAAATTAAGATTAGGCATTAATTACTTTACCTTGCTTTGATTTGAAAATCCCCAGATTCCAGCTGCTACCTCAATGGCGAATATGATCAGCAGAAAGAAGAAGAACTGCAAATAAATAAATAGATAAATAAAACAAAAAGTTTAAATGCCATTAAAGCTACTGATTTGCTTGCATTCATGCATGTTTCGACTGTCTTTGCTGGTGCATTTTTAAATGGACAGTCAGTTGAAAGAAGCCAAATCCACTTTTCAATAGACCCTCCTCCACTGAGATTTAGTGCAGAAGATTACAGCCAAGACAGGAAGTAAAGGAGGGAGCAAGCAATGAGAAATCTAGGGGCGCTTTTGTGGCCTTGAGACAGTTCAGTAAACACTGATAAGAGCTAACGTCTCATTTTTCATAGGGAGTCTGCAGAAACCACTCTGAATTAACACGCCTTTGCAAGAAAATAAAAGGAAAAAACAAAACACTGCTCATGCTCTGGTCATGACTGATAACAATGTAGTAACTCTGCTCCTCGCTGCGTGCTCCTATAGACATTGACGCACTGCCTGTACTTCCATGTGATTGGTATTATGCAGGAAGTGTAGAAGATAAACATAAATGAAAAACCTGCAGGCTCCCAGTTTCTTGTGCACTGTCCAACTCAGAAAATACCACAGACTTTCTAATCCAGTGCAAAGGGATAGTTAGAGGAAGAACATTGAGTACTACAAACCAGTCCTAGCATCAAGGGTAATTCCTTGATTGCTCCACAACATCCTAGAAAGCCCACCACCATCATGAGTGCTCCAGCTCCAATAAGGATGTAGACACCTGTAGACACATAGAGCAGATCACATGCATACAAATGATAGAAACTATATATTTTCATAAATGGTGAATCCTACCTGCATGGAACGCATACGGAGGGTCAGATCCACTAAACAGGCTGTTGGTTTTTGGGTCAAATCTCAGCCACAGGCCTATGATAAACACAGCAGTGCCTGCAAGCTAAAACACACACACACACACACACACACGCACGCACGCACGCACACACACACACACACGCACGCACGCACGCACGCACGCACGCACGCACGCACGCACGCACACACACACACACACACACACACACACACACACACAGCAATTAGCACTAAAAGAACTCGACTTGCTTACTTCTCATGTCGCTGTTCTCCCCAGATTCATGCTTATTACTCATTTACCAGGTGTTTCTACTCGTTTGTGACGTACTCAGATAGCTCCATCGAAAGTTCTTCACATGTTTGCATCCCACACACATCCTTCCCAGTCAAGGTTTCTAGTCAATGCAATGGTAAACACGCACAAACGTGGTTTCACTAAGTAATATTTTATTTAGTCTACTAATGTCTAAGAGCTTTTCTCTTTTCCAGGGACACTTTATCATTAGAATGAACTCATGCTCACATTAGTTACCCAGAATGAGATAAACGTCAAAGCAGATGGAACCCCCGTGAGGGCATTTTACTTTGTTATTCCCCTAATCATTGAGAGAAATAGCCTTAGATTGCTCTTTGGACTAAGAATGTTAATCTGCTCTGTTGTTTTGTTTCGTGCCTTGACAACATAGACTCCCTGGTGTGGGGTGTCTGTATTCAGAGAGTGCGACAGTTCCGGTTCGAGCTCTGTTTTACCGTCTTGCTAATATGTCACTCCCACGTGTCACTCCCATGTACACTTTCTGTTTTCATTGTCCACTAAAATGACTGACACCCGAAGGTACAGATGGAGAACATATTTCTTCCTCTTGGCCAGATCGTCGTTGTAAATGAGAATGAGTTCTCAATCAACTCATCTAGTTAAATAAAGGTTAAATAAAAATGACCTTGTTTTCTTAACTTTCTCTGCCTCTCAGAACACAGAAAATGTAAAATCAGACCTACCCAGAAGAAGAAGTTGAAAAAAAACATGAGATATTTCACACATTTGATCCCTCCAGCGACAGCCATGCTGATTCAGCTTGAACAATCCACTGTTAAACGGGTGTCTCCTGCCTTCCCGGAAGCAAGGAAAGTTTGAAACACCACGCCTCCTGTCACCTGATTATGTGTTTAAGTTGTGGCAAAAAAAGAGTAGCACAGCCTCACAAGTTAACCTTCAGATTGTTTGATCATGTGAAGCCCTCCCTAAGTTCCTTCCTCCCCTTTGTTTCATGTTTCTGCAGGAATCCTGTGTGCATCTGTTCAAGTCATTCAGGCACACAAGTGTTTCATGGTCCCACAGCAGCTCAGAGGGTTCCTGCTCAGGCATGTTGGCACAAACACATTTACTACAACAAAGACTTAGTGACATACTTACAGCTCAAGTGTCAAACCTGGAGGTAATTCTTGGATCTGACCTTTAGGAGTCCTCAGCCTCCAGGGAGAACCTTTCAGTGACTTTCGTTTTGTTCAGTTTTCAGAGAGTAACATTCTCAAATAAGATCTGGTCTAACAAGGATTCAGGGTGATGTATTGTTTACCCCTCCACATGCTCTGACATGCTGCACCCTCCCTTCTGAATCAGTCTTTGTAATTAAAATGACTCATATATTTCTCAAACTTTGTGAAATGTTTAAGAGTGAATCTGCAGATTTATCTCCAAAAGTGACACAGTGTGAACATAGATTGCTCAATTTCAGTGTTGTCCGAGGGGATTGAAGATAACATGATACTGCAAGAGAAAAAAAAAATAACTTGGTGTTGATGCTCCAGTAAAGTGAGGGTGAGGGTAAAGTCCTCACCCTATTGAACTACAAGGATGTGCCTTTATGATTGTTGACATGTATCTTCAAATAAGAGCATCAACTGAACAAAAAAGGTGCAATGCAAGTCAGATGAGGTCCACTGAAAAATGTGAAATAATTTTTTTGAAATACAATCGGTACCGCGGCTGCACAGAGGTTAGCACTTTTGCCTTGCAGCAAGGAGGTCCCGAGATCGCATCCCAGCCTGGGGTCTCTCTGCAAAGAGTTTGCATGTTCTCCCTGTGCATGTGTGGGTTCTCTCCAGGTTCTCCGGCTTCCTCCCACAGTCGTAAAATATGATTGTCCTTAGGTGTACGTGTGTGTGTGTGCTTGATTGTTTGTCCTGTGTGTCTCTGTATTGTCCTGCGATGGATTGGCAAATTGTTCAGGGTGAACCCTGTCTGTATGCCCAAAGAAAGCTGGAGATACGTACCAGCCACCACGACCCTGCGTGCAAGCGGGTACAGAAATTTGATGGATGGATCGGTAACGCAGAGTTTTATGTGCATGCTGAATGTGAAAATAGTCTTCTACCCCATTACCTTCAATAGCTTTCCAAAAACAAAACAAAACGGACAGCAAACTGCTTGGGTCAGAAAGAGCCACACAGATCGACGTCACACTGCAAAACTGCATTTACAGACTCACCCATTTTTGCTCGTGAACACAGATGGATGTGTTGATTTGGCAAAAATAAATAAAAAAATAAAATAAAAAAAATAAGAGAGCAGAGCACAATCTTGACTAGTAGAACCTAACCATTAGCATTATCAATTACACAGCATGGTAGACCACCGTCCAGCTTGTGGTTTTTGTGGAGACAAAACATCAGCTTTGCATCTTTGGTATGTTCTTGCTGTTTTGAGTTTCTAACTGCATTGATGGTTCTTATTTAAAACACAGAAAAGGTTTCTTTTTACCTTGCTAACAGTTTCGTTTGCGGCTGCAAACTTCTTCAGAGCTGACACTGATGGTGGCGTCACATCCTTCTCTCTACCGGACGCCAACTCAACACACAAACAATAGAACATAGAAACGAGTGCGAAAGAGAAACAAGTCAAAGACACACAAGAACAGCAAAGCAAGAAGCAGAAAGTACAATAAAGAAATTGGCCGCAACAGATCACTGCACAAGAGAAAACCACATAATGGACTGGGACAACACAAGGATCATAAACACCGAACAACAGAAATACAGAAGATGGATGAAGGAAGCCATAGAGATAAGGAGATGTGGATGTGGGACCATGAACAGAGACGATGGGATTCATACATTGGATCGTGCATGGGATTGTGTCATTTGTGAAGGGAGAGCGGGCAGCAGAGGGCGACAACGTCCTCTGCTGCCCGTGGATAAATGGAGGGGGAAGTGACGCCACCATCAGCATCAGCTCTGAGGAAGTTTGCAGCCGCGAACGAAACTGTCAGCAAGGTAAAAAGAAACCTTTTCTGGGTTTTAAATAAGAATCAACAATGCAGTTATCAACTTTGCATTTTTACGTAAGAAACAAGAGTGAACGGTGACAGTGGAAGAGTTGTATTGCTGTTGGCCAATATTTGTATCATGAATATTAATGATTAAGACTCCAAATCTAGCCCTTTCCCACCCCCTCCACTCCTCTGACAAAACTTCCTGAAACACAATGAAAAAAGGGTCAGCCAAAAAAGTACTTTAAGTCATTTAATTTCAAGTAAAATTTCGACGCGTTTTTATTACCAAAAGTCAGCGAACCATCCACTTTAACATAACCTGTTCTTAATTTGACATGTGTTCAACGATTCAGACAGTGTGTAATTTCCCTGGCGATAGGGGGCAGTAGATACCTAAATCATTGCAAGCAAGCATTATTTTTGTGTTGGAGTAAGACCTTACAAGCAGAGGGCCATTGGGGTCAAAAATTCCTGAGCGCAACCTCCAGCAAAACAAAAAGAACCTTGATCTTAGTGTTATCATTTTGATAATTGTGTAATTGTAATTGTCTCAAATGAAAGTTTTAGATGGTGTTTACTAGGGCCAAGAATCTTTTTTCATTTATTATTATAATTTTTATTTTTTTATTATTTTTTTGGTGGAGGGGCACCAAAAGCTTTTTTCCATCAGAAAACGACTCACAAGGCATTTCTTCACAGAGACCACAGCAAGCTTATAGAAACAGGATACGACTCCTTTAAATGTGTAAATGAGATCATTCCTCTGAACCAGATGGGGTAGGGTTTAATTTTCATTTTGTTTAGTTCCATGACTAAAAATACAATTCAATCTGAGGCCTGGACTAAACTCCATCTGTTGTTTAAAGGTCCACCCCTCATCCAACGTTGGGCTGTGGAGTTGACACATTTAACAAGTTGTTTATTGCCCTCCCAATGGGAAATGCAAAGAACACCTTTAGTGGAAGGAGACAAAGAGGCAGACGACCAAACACCAATCCAATCTCACGACAAATGACTGCTTTCAACTTTCGCATTACTTTAATACATCTCATTGTCTTCTTGAACCAAAGCTACGAAAACAGAAACAGAAAATCTGACAATTAATGCATCACATCCCAGACAACACCCATCAGGTTTGGCATATCTATCTATCTATCTATCTATCTATCTATCTATCTATCTATCTATCTATCTATCTATCTATCTATCTATCTATCTATCTATCTATCTATTTGTTTTATGTTTTAATGTCAGAATGAATAATCTTTCATTTCTGATTTTAATAAGTAGGACCAGCATTGGTTCATATTTCCTGGGATGGTACTATCCTGCACATGGTTTTGTGCGAACACTGAGTTAGGATTTCATTTGGGCACAGATTGTAAAAAACACAAGCTTTCAGACATCCTAAACGGGAAGCACCAGTACTAGTATAGACGTATGTTGGGTTGTGAAAGATTTCCTGTGAATTGCAAAACTAGAATCTGCTGAAAAAAATTCCAAAAATGTTATGCTCTGCAAATGTTTTACCTCCCATTTGGTTTTGTTGGTCAGATATTTAATGTTCCCAGAGAAAATCGAACATAAATCACACCGTGGGAAATCCTTGGTTGCCCTGAATGCATATTTCCAGCTCTATACATAGCTGCACAGATTAGAAGCGTTCATAAAAGGGCAAAGCATAGCTGTAACCACACATGCACACACCCAGCAGGCTTAGTGGGCCATAAATACCCTATATGGGATTCAGACTGGGTCTGGACTAGGAGCTGAAGTTGGTATTATTATCATTTTGTTTTCACATTTTATGACAAAGCACATTAAAATGCAATGCGCACTCTAGGCTGGACTGTCGAGTCTAGAGTGAGCGGAACTGGGTCACTTGGCCACTGAGGGATTAATTATTCCCCACATCGCTCCACAAACCCAGGGACATCAGTCAGTGCCTTGTATTCATTCCAGTCATAACTTAACGTGATTGAGCGCGTGCATTGGCTCGATTCTGCGTTTGGGACGCTCACAATTTCATTCACTACTGTAGCCTGGGCTCACGCGATCGCGCGCACACAAGCCGATCACACGCGTACGCACGAACCACACAAGACAGGATGAGAATATGTTGTGTCGCGTTCCACTCACCCAGAACACCAGGTTGAAGGCGAACATCAGGTATTTGATGCAGCTTTCTCCTCCAGACAGCGCTGCCATGGTGATGATGTGCACAAATGCTGCTTTCTTTGATCCGCACGTTAGGAAGGAGAAGGAGCTGCCACTGAATAACAGTGCAGTGCGGAGTTATTTCCCGACGCGCTGGCGCTATCTTGCGCTGTGCAGCGCGCCTGTAGTGCTCCGCCCCCACATGCGGCTGCATAAATAAATCATTTTCTCCCTTCATTCTCCCTTTCTCTCTTATTGCCTGAAAGTTTAAAAATTTAAACAGTTTTATTTAAATTTAATAATAATACTACTGAGTATAGACATTGTAACCGAGCCTTCAAGAAAGAGACGGGAGAAGATTGAGAACCGGTTGATAACCGTGAACTCTCAGGGTCGCTTTATTTAACAACTCCGCTCCAACTTCTGTTGTTCTTCAAACTTTTTTTTAAACATCACATCCTGTCAGCAGCACCTTCAAAATAAAAGTCCCATAACAGTGGGTTACAATATTTGAAATGCATGTTCACGTCAATTTATTGTATTTCAGTTTTAAAAATACAATAACTGAGGACTGCATGACACCGCTGTTGCTTTTTTTGTTTGCAACATCCGACAGTACCCTGGCGATGACGCAATTCTCCCAGAATAAGGAGAGCGCGCTCATGAATTATTATTTTGTACTTGAATGAACACGGTGCACACGCAGGCCACTGCAAGCCACGACTCACAGGAAACAAATTACAAACCTCTCTCTCTCTCTCTCTCTCTCTCTCTCTCTCTCTCTCTCTCTCTCTCTCTCTCTCTCTCTCTCGCTCTCTCTCTCTTTCTCTCTCTCTCTCTCTCTCTCTCTCTCTCTGTGTGTGTGTGTGTGTGTGTGTGTGTGTGTCACAGCCAATCAATCCATTTGAACGTCTGCAACTAATTCACATTTGGAGATATCTGGAGTAAAGATGTTCACTGCTAATCAACATTAAAGTTAATAAAATAAAAATGAATGCAGTGCCAGACTGCCACCCTCAGTTGGCATCAATTGTCTTTGCTTTGAACATTTCAAAATGAGTTAAATATCTCATCAACCACTGGTGGACTTACAGATGAAACAGGAAAAATTAGAATATGGAGCAAAAATTATTTTATTTCATTAATTCAGCTTAGACTGAGAAACCATCTAAAGGCCCAGAAACCCTTTGCTAGTGTTTTGGGACTCGAGTTTGACGTATGAGGCCCATGTCAGGCATCTGTGTAAAATGTCTATTTTCCACCTCAGGAATATAGCAAAACTGCGTCCAGCACTAACGTTTGCTGATGCGGATAAGTTGGTCCATACGTTTGTCTCCTCCAGGCTGGATTTCTGCAATGCACTTCTCATTGGGACTACTGGAAAAATCCTTCAAAAACTGCAGTATATTCAGAACTGTGCTGCTAGGATCCTGATGAGAGGATGCAAAAATGACCATAATATGCCCATTCTTAAATCTCTTCACTGGCTCCCTGTTTCATCTAGAATTGATTACAAGGTTGCCCTTCTCACCCACCAGTGTATTTATGCCCCCCCCCTCACCCCCCACCTTAAAGAACTTCTGTTTTCACAGACGTCCACACGCAACCTCCGATCTGCATCAGTACATCTTTTGAAAACTCCAAAGACTAAACTTCGCACCATGGGAGATCATGCTTTTTGCTCAGCTGCACCCAGACTTTGGAATTCCCTCCCAGGGCATCTGAGGACACCACAGGTGCTTTTAAATCTGGTCTTAAAACTTATTTTTTTACCAGAGCTTTCGGGTTAAATTAACTTTGTAGCACTTTGAGATTTGTTTTAAATGTAAAGTGCTTTATAAATCAAATGTATTATTATTATTATTATTATTATTATTATATTTTTACTTTCACTTGTTTAAAAAGTACTGCCATTTCCTATTCCTAAATACTTCATTAATACCAGAGGAAAAGTAAATGTTGAAGTAATTAAATATTATTGAAAGAGTCATTGTAGCAGATAATTATGGAAGGATCCTCTTTAGCAACCTGTAGCAACACTCATGCAGCATCTTGTTGCCAACATTAAGTGTCGATAAAAGAAGACCATCCTAGTTCTCAAACCTGTGGTGTAAAAAAACAACTAGTTACACAAATATTACTTTACTTTGTCTAAAAAACTTAGATAAATATGTATTTTGTTTAATTAAACAGATATATTTTTGGTGACATATTAAAAACTCACATGAGAGACATGTTACATTATTGTTTCACCTTTTTTGGATAAAAAAAAGCTTTTCAATTCTGGAAATAGCAGTAGTGTGAAAACTTTCATGTCTCCTTGTCGTCCTTTCTGATGATCCCATAATGTTTTACCTCAGAGTGTTAATTGGCACTAACTGGTGTGTGTGTGTGTGTGTGCGTGTGCACGCGTGCGTGCATGCGTGTGTGTGTGTGTGTGTGTGTGTGTGTGTGTGTGTGTGTGTGTGTGTGTGTTGATGTAAGAGGTTGTGTTTTTGTGCACCACAGACCTCGTGTAATTGCGTGAGACATCTCTGGCATTAAGCGTTTCCCAGGAAAATTGTTTGGGTTGGCGCTGAAGCAGACACATTTTGGTGGACTAATCACTCAGCCCGGTGATCAGCGGGCACATCCTGGCATTGTCCCGCTGAGTGTGTTTGATGCTGTCAGTCTGCAGGCTCCAAGCTGCGGACAGAATGATACTCCTCCAGAACACAACCTGTTGAGGGGCGTGACCTCCTTATGGCTAGGCAGGGAGCCGGGGGTGGGGGGTGGGGGTGGGGGGGTTGATAGAGCTGGGATATAAAATAGAGATTTTAGTGTGGTTGAAGATCTTCATGTGGACATGAAGCTTTAGAGAGTTTTAGACCATCGCACCATTTTATAATCTCCAGATTGAGATTTTCAGATTTTTTTGGAGGTAAGACTTGAACTAAAAATGGCATTTTTTTTCAAACAAGCAAAGAAATGCCGATAACTATTTTTTTGCAACAAAACATTTTAGATTCCTGAGACACGTTAACATTTTTATGTTTTTCAGATGTGTTCAAAGGCGTTTTTGCAAAGACTTTATCTCTTCCTGCATCTGACAGGTATTCTTTTAGGATCACTGTAAGACTCTGTCTACTCTCACACTTACACTCACAGTGATATTGGTGTGTGTCCAGCTTACGTGGCAGGATTAACAGGGAGATGCAGTCTGTTCGGGCGGCATCACATTCACACCTTTGATGGAGTTTTGTACGAGTTTCCAGGAGACTGTAGCTACCTTCTGGCTGGAGACTGCAACCATCGCTCCTTCACGCTGCTGGGTGAGTCAAACTTCAATCTGTTAAAAACTCAACAGAGGAAGATTTAAGCTCTGTGACTGAGTGTGTTGTACGAAAGTGTCTTTTTGATCTGTAGGTGACTTTCAAGATGGCAAAAGATCAGGAGTCACATTGTTTCTAGGCGATGCCTTCGAGTTGCACCTGTCTAACGATGGACGGCTTTCGCAAGGAGAAAAAATGTAAACAAAACTTTAAAGCGTAATTTTTTTCTCGTAACAACTGCAGCATCCGTTTTTCTTTGCAGATTGTCTCTGCCGTATGCCTCTCACGCTGTGTTTGTAGGCTCAGAGCTCGGTTCTTATAAACTGTGGAGTGAAGAGTTTGGCTTCACCGTTACCATCGATAATGCAGCCAACATTGCCTTGACTCTCGCCAAACGCCACACCAATCGCACCTGCGGCCTCTGTGGCAACTTCAACGCCATCTCAGCTGATGAGTACACCGCCCAGGAAGGTATGTGCTTCAAGAGACGTGTTAAACATTAAACATGGGAGAGTTAGAGCTTTGAACAAAAGAGAGGCGGTTAAAAAGTGCTGGGATCTAGGAAATGATTAAAGCCACAAGCATTCAGCAACAGGAAGAGTAGCTGCTGGGTACAGGAAAAGATAACAAAGCAAAAGAAAGCAAGAGACGTCTGTGTTAGGATGAGATTAAGAGAGAAATCTGTCAACCCGTTTGCCTTCGTGTGTGTGTGTGTTTTCAGGATTCCTGACAGAGGACAGTTACGATTTTGCAAATTCATGGGCAGTAAAAGGGGCTGATCAGTCATGTCGACGTGTTTCAAGTCCCAGCCATTCCTGCAACAGCACAAAAGGCACTGCAGCGGTAACAGACATTTTAACACATCCTGATAAAAACCTTATTGGGATGAGTTTTATATGTGCTGACATTTTTTACCCATGATGCAAAGAGAAATCAGTAAGGGGCAAAAGCCTCACTCAACTTTGGTTGACTGAGCAGTAATTCCTAAACTTCCAGAGGCTCGTGGCACCAACCAATAAAATCACACAAACATCTCTTATAAAAAATTTAGACAAGCATTTAATAACAAAGAGTCCTGGTGACCATTGTAATAATTTAATTCATAATCTATTGTTTCACCTTTTAAGGCTAAAAATAAGTTACACTGTAAAAACTGTGAATGTATGTTATTTTACAAAATTATGACCACAGAGGGGCACTTTATATAATTGGGTACATTTAAAAGAGAAAATGTTAACTAAATCTAAACAAAACACATAATAAAATATAACAGTAAAAGTGTTTTGGATTTAGGAACACAATTTCACAAAAGTGAATCTTGGTTAAATAAATATCTGTGAAAATTGAAATTGATCAAAAATCAAGAGAAAGTTGTGGAAAAATGACTTAAATATAACAGCCACTTTCCTCAGTAAAAGTTACTAGATTTCTGACCTTTTTTTGTGTGGCACTTTTATGTTTTATTTAAATCTGCTTAGTATTCCATGGCTTATTTTACTCCAAAAGAAATTGTGTAAATTTAAATAAATTAACACCTCAGGAATGTTGAATTTAGCTGATTTAAAACAACTAATACAGTACATACGGTTACTATTACTTTTCTATTAGTTACTAATTAACCTCAATCACAGTTTTACAGTGTAAACTTTTGGCAAATTTCCTTAAATTTACTCTGAAATCTGGAGATAATGTCAGGATTTGGTATTTCATGGCCCAAGATTGGGAACCACTACACTCTATTACCATCATGTGTTGCTTCATGAAACACTTTTGTCCTTGTTCTTTTTACATCAATAAAATGTAGTTTAATTTTGTTGATGAAAAATTAAAAGTGAATTATCAAATAAGCAATCATGAAACTGACGGACTCATATTTTCCTGAATTTTGTCACATTTTATGTCTTAGTAGACCAGGTGAAGCCACAGTTTTTTAAATAACATTTTTGTAGAAGTTTTTAAAAAAAGAGCTAACAAGATTTAAGTATTTTTTTAGCTAATTGTCTCTTTAAACTTTCACACATGAAGGAGGAAAAAATTCCTTTTGTGTTTTGTAGATCTTGTCCAGCTGCAGCGTGTTGCAAACCTCAAGCGTGTTCCTCCGCTGTGCCCATCTGGTTTCTCCCGAAGCGTTCCTGTTGCTGTGTCAGGCCGAGGCCTGCTACTGTGAGCAGAAGGATGCAGAAGACTGTTACTGTCCTCTCCTGTTGGAGTACGCTCGCACGTGCCATTCTCACGGGATCCTCCTGCACGGCTGGATGGAGGAGAGCCAGTGCTGTGAGTTTATCAAATGTTAAAGGGTGGTAAAAGAGTTTTCAAATGCAGTCTTCAGGAACTATGCTTTCATCTGTAGTCCCCAAATGTCCAATTGGCATGCAGTACAGTGAATGCACCAAGTCCTGCTCTACAACCTGCCACAGTCTCAACATACAGGAGGTCTGCAAGGAGGACTGTGTGGATGGCTGCACATGCCCCAGTAAGCCATTTTTCTCTAAAGAGACTCCTCTTCATTGTAGCGTTATAGATTTGTGACGCGTGCGTGTGTGTGTGTGTGTGTGTGTGTGTGTGTGTGTGTTTCAGCCGGGAAGGTTTTAGACGGAAATCGCTGTGTGGAGGTAACTCAGTGTTCCTGCACACACATGGGACGGCATTTCCCTCCAGGATCAACCATCTCCCAGGACTGCAACACATGGTATCAAACATTTACGAATATGCATAAACACTTGCTTAGTAAAATGTCTTACAGCTCTCAAACACCTCTTTTCTGAAGTGTGTGTCGCCATGGATCCTGGGAATGCACCAATGAAGACTGCCCTGGTGAGACAGAGACACATACGTGCACATTTTTCATGTTATTGACCTCTTACATTACAAATGACCCCTTTGTTGATTGTCTGACCAGGCGAGTGCTTAGTTGTTGGTCAGTCTCACTTCAAGACCTTCGACAACAAATTTTTCACCTTCACTGGCCACTGTCAGTATCTGCTGGCAAAGGACTGCACTCAGGGCGAATTTTCTGTCATTATTGAAAACATACAGGTGATTATATTAATAACAGTGAACACATCTTATTCAGTTATCTCTATTTCCCACACTCCAATCACATCCTTTGATTTAAAGCATTGTTTTCTTTTGGGGTTTTGTGTCTCAGTGTGCAGATGATCAAGATGCCATCTGCACGCGCTCTGTGATGCTTAGTCTGCGCACTCTGGAGAGCATGATGGTGAAACTGAAGCATGGTGGAGTTGTTTCTGTCAACAGCATGGACATCCAGACCCCAATGCACCACGGTAGGCAACATGTAGTTACTATCTGTTTGCATAAATGTTCATTATTTTTAAAAGCATGCTTGTGAATGCACCATTACAGGTCACCTCCACATCGTAAGATCTGCTCAGTCCTCTGTCAGTGTGAAGTTTGGTGTTGACCTCCGTCTGGACTGGGACGGCCGAGGTCGTGTGCTTCTTAAGGTGGAATAGATTTAGAAGGATTTTGCTGATGATTCTGATGTAAATAGGACTAATTTGTGTAAACGTCTCTAGCTGGGCCCACGGTGGGCTGGACAAACGTGTGGTCTCTGTGGGAATTACAATGGTAACCATGGTGATGACTTCCTGTCTGGCTCTGGGCTGGTTGAAGCAAGCCCTCAGGTGTTTGGTCAGGCCTGGAGGATCAATGGAGACTGTGAATCCACTCACAAGCATGAAATTGATCCCTGCTCCACCAACCCCAAAAGAGGTTTGTTTATCCAAAAAGTCAAACAAAGAATGTAAAACAACAAAGTATTGACCTTTAACCCTCTGGGATCACAGTGCGTTTTGCAGAGGAGGCGTGTGCAGTGATGATGTCGGACGTGTTCAGTCCGTGCCACTTTCTGGTCAACCCGGGGCCGTTTCAGAGGTTTTGTCGTTATGATGTGTGCGCCTGTGGGGATGGAGAGGAGTGCCTCTGCTCTGCTCTGGCTGCTTACGCTGCTGCTTGCTCTGCAAGAGGAGTGCTGCTCAACTGGAGGTCCCCATCACTCTGTGGTAACTCCGCTAGTCACGTACACACCAGACCAGGAAAGAGCAGACAGCAAAAAAGATTTAGGATCAAAGCTAAATAGTGAATCATTTCTGCCTAAATCTGGAACACATAACAGATTGTGAGATTGGTTTGGGGAATTTTCTGTTTATGCTGATTCATTTATTATATTTATTAATTTGCTAAACCTCTTTATTAGGTAAGTTTCTTTACTACAATCAGTGAAATAATTATACATGTGAAGTTTAATCCCTCCACTGTTGTGCTCCACCTCCTTTGAGTGAGATTGTTCACCCTTGTTATTTTTTTAAACTATGTTTTTGCAGAGTTTAAAATTCAGGATTGGGCTGCAAATCAAGATTTAAAGTCACCACTAATCATCAGATACGGTCAACTTCCCTAGTTTGGGTTAACAGACTTCCCTTCTCTGCTGTGCTTCCTGTCGCTATAGATGCCACAAGAGAATATTTTCCAGTTTTATGTAGTTTGTAGTTTCAGCGGATGCATATTCTCTCTTTTTTCATAAATAGTTTATTAAGAAGTTTAAAACAATCCCAACCTTAATTTATTCTGTATGGATTTTTTTTCTTGAAGCTGCAATGCCAAATTTGGAAAACAAATGAGTTTAAAACATTTTTTTCATGCCTCTTAACAACGTTCTAACATAGTATGACTCTAACTATATTTAATATTATATATTACAGATAAATAATATCTTAAGTAAGTGGTTCTCTTGCAGTTTTCTAAAACCCATGCACAAAAATCTTTCTTTTTTTAATTTCTAGGGTAAGATAAGTTATTTAAAGACAAAAATATCTTGGCCAGCAACCTTTCAAACACTTATGAAACACTCAAACATTCCCATTGAGATTCTCTGACTGCTTTGGCTCTGATATTATGGTGTTATCAGAGATCGAGTGCACAGGAGGTCAGATCTACGAGGCCTGTGGGAGTGCGTGTGACCGGACGTGCCATGCTCTGTCTGGATCTGAGCCTGGCTGTGAGGGGGAGAGGGTGTGTGAAGAAGGTTGTTTCTGTCCTCCTGGGAAGTACCTGAACCCCTCTGGAGAATGTGTGACAGCTGATCTGTGCTCCTGCCTGCATGATGGACAGCTCTACCAGCCTAACGACGTCTACGCTGATCACAGCAGCATCTGGTATGTGACCATGTCTTAAAACTGTCTTTAAATCTTATTTCATGGTTTGAGTGATTTCATTGGTCTTTGTTTTTGTGTTTATAGCTACTGTGCGAATGGCTCCATGCACTGTAGCTCCACTGAAGCAACATCTTATCTGTCGGACCTTTTCTATGATGATGAAATGGTGCCATCCAGGGGTATCAATTCATTGCTTTCTTTCCTAATTATCCAGCCATTGGTTCTGTTTTATATCTAAATCACATATTTGTGTGTTTATGTTTGCAGAGCGAAGATCAGCTGAGTGTCCCCCTCCCCTTGTCCGTGCGGGGTGCAATGCAGGTGAGACGGGTCTGGAGTGTGCTAGAACCTGCCAGAATCTGGATCTGCCATGTGTCAGTCTCACCTGCTTCCCCGGCTGCCTCTGCCCACCAGGCACAGTAAGAGTGTGTGTTGCTCTGTATTTGTTAAACAGCTTTAACACAAGTCATGTCATTGATTAGTGGATTGATTTCAGGTGCGTCATCGCAGAGAATGCATTACACCCCAGCAATGCCCCTGTTACCATAACAACAGGCCATACGCAGCAGGACAGACCATCTCAGTAGACTGCAACACTTGGTAAAATTATGGTTTATGAACTAATTTGTTTAAAAATGTGTTTCCTTACATGTTTTCTTGTTTTACAGCGTGTGTGAGAACAGGAAGTGGAGTTGTACAAAGAAGCTATGTGATGGCGTGTGCCGCACTGTAGGGGAGGGCCATTACATCACATTCGATGGGCTCACATACTCCTTTCCCGGTCTTTGCCAATATGTTCTGGTTCAGGTATTTAAAAAAGAACACATTGTCCAATGGGAAAGGTCGTATTCATACTTGTTTTTCTAATTTATCCATGAAAAGGATTCGTGTCACGGAGAGACCACCTTCAGGGTGTTGGTGGAGAATGAAGCCTGTGGAATTGTGGGTCATCGCTGTGCTAAAGCTATCTCAATCTTCTACAAGGGCGGGCTGATTGTGATGCAGCATGGAGAGGTGATATATCACAATCCTGAACCATTTCGTTTACACACAGAGATAGTTGAGATAATTGGGGCAGCAGTGGCTCAGAAGGTAACCTCATGATTAAAGGGGTCATGGGCTTGATTCCAGCACCCACCAGGGGTATTCTACTGTTGTGTCCTTGGGCAAGACACTTCCCCGACTTGCCTGTGTTGGTGGTGGTCAAAGGGGCTGATGGCACAAAATGACTGCTTCGCCTCTGTCAGACCGCCCCAGGGCGGCTGTGGCTACATGGTAGCTTACCATCGCTGGCAGTGTGTGAATGTGAGAGTGTATGAATAATGGAAAGTGCTTTGGGTGCCTTTAAAAGTGTTGAATAAATCCAATCCATTATTATTACTCATGTGCATCGTGTTATGCACAACATGCGAGCTTTATATGACTAAATTCTTGCACTTTATTTCATTTCTGAAATCATTAGGTTCCTAAATTGCTTGTGCAGTTTGCTATCACTTATTAAAATGTGGTTTATAAGCAAAAACACCAACTGCAGCATCCGCCTACATACACGTCCCAGTGAAATAATTTTAAATTTGGTTTATTTCTGACACATTTATGAAATATTTTCTGCTTCAATTTCACTATTTGAGAAATTTCTAACAAAAAAATAAAAGTAGGCTTGATCTCCGAGTGTCCCCTATGCAACCATAGGTGAAGATGAAGAGACCAGTACCACAGAATTCCCAAGTGGAGATCATCCGATCTGGTCAGTTTTACACCCTTCTGCTGGGAAAAGACATCTCCATCAGCTGGGACAAAGGAACTCGCCTCTCAGTTCATATCTCATCTTCCTACATGGTACTGATGCATTCTGGGGACAGTTTTTATTTGCCATATTCAAACATTTTTTTAATCCTAACAAAAATGAGCTTTTCATCATGTAAAGGGCCAGGTGTGTGGTCTGTGCGGCAACTTTGACGGGAATGTCAACAATGATGTGATGAGCAGTAACAACCAGCTGGAAGTGGATGCTTTACACTTTGGGAATTCCTGGAAGGTCGTTCCCAGCTGTGCTGATGTGACACAGGTATGTCAAGAAGTAGAAAGAAGAATTTTTCTTTCTTCATTTTGAAAATAAACACATCAAACCTGTATCAGCATTGATAACTGGTAGAGTTACAAACGTTTATTGATACCCATCCAGATATTATTGCTAACATCATTTATCCTGCAAAAATATGTCTTTTTGCATCTATAGGTACCAGTTCCTTGCAGTGACAACATTGTGAAACTGGTTACAGTGGAGCAGTCGTGTCGTGTGATCACCGGTCCTCTCTTTAAAGAATGCAACATCCAGGTTCGTCATTTCTCACACTCCACATAAATTGTCTTGCTTACTCTTTTTCCTATTAACCAACCTTCTCTATCTCCAGGTGGATCCAGAGCCATATGTGGACATGTGTGTGAAAGCAGCGTGCTCATGCTCCTCCGTAGGCGACTGTGCGTGCTTCTGTGACGTCATCGCAGCATACGCTCAAGCTTGCTCTGAAAGGGGTCTGTCCTTCACTTGGAGATCCAGTGACCTTTGTCGTAAGTTTGAGGAATTCCCTTATTATTGTGATTAAGTGTGGCATGGCTGCTTGATCCAGTCTAACCAGTAAACTGCACCATTTAAGCTGCCATACTTTCATTTGTGTGGAATCCATTTATATGCACCAATGACATTAACTTGTTTTATTTTAGCCATGAGCTGTGAGGATCTGAACCCTAAGAGCCCAGATGTGGGGGAGGAGTTATGCCAGTGGAGGTATAATTCATGTGGTCCTGCCTGTCCAATCAGCTGCCAGCATCCTGATCCTCTTGTGTGTCCACTCACATGTGTGGAAGGCTGCCATTCTATCTGTCCCTCAGGTGACCCAAACACACATTTGTCCAAAACAGAAACAAATTAAAAAAATTTTACTCAAAGGTTGACTGAAATATATATTAAAAAATTCTTCCTAATGTTTAGGTCAAATTTTGGATGAGGTGTCAACGAGATGTGTAGATCCATCTCAGTGTCAGGTGTGTATCCATGAGGGTCAGAGAATCTCCCATGGCAACAAGGTCATCTTTAACCATAACGATCCCAACCACTGCAAGATATGGTAAGAATCAGATATTTTGATCATTTAAATTATACATCAGAGCTTTTTTGATTGATTTTAAGCACTTTTTTCTTTACCAAAGCCACTGTGAGAATAACTACCTGAGCTGTGAAGATTGCACCTCCTTCAGCATGTTCTCTCCTCCCACACCAACACCTACGTACGGAGCATTCACAACCCTGGCCTTCACCACGTTGATGCCCGAGGGCACGTGTGATCGTGCGATGGATCTGGCTTTCCTCCTGGATGGTTCTCAAACTCTGAGTGAAAATGAATTTCAAGCAACTAAAATGTTCATACTGGGAGTGGTGGAACGATTCAGAATGGGCTCGGCTCACACTCGAGCCACCGTGTTGCTTTACCACTCCGGGGTTAAAACATACGAGCTGCAGGTATTAAAACATCATCATTAAAATCCAAATTAAGCCAACTTTGACTTAAAGCCCAAGTTCACTGAGAAACAGTTTTTTAAATGTTGTGTTTTAAATATGATTGATCACTGAGTTTAACATGCTGGTTTCATGTGAAAAATATGTCTTCAACTCTGATTTCCTGCATTAGCTGCTGGTAAAAAAAATAGACAGAGAAACTCTTAGATTAGAAGTGCCTGACAATTGCACATCATGTTGTCAAAATAGCATTCATGGACTCACCCATCTTGGCTTGCAACGGGGAAGGCTATTTTGATTTAGCACCCAGGAGAGAGTAGAGCACCTCTCTGCTAGCAGAAGCATTAGCAACTCCACAACTTCTTCAGGCGTGTGTTCTTTGTGGAGATAAAACATCAACATATCAAAGCAAACAGAGTCAGTGGTAGAGTCACATTGCTGTTAGCAATCAGACTTGAGATGTCCGAATATCAGAAAATAAGGCGCCAGAACCTGCCAACTTCAGCTCAACTTTGTTGCGGCTCATTTCTAGTTCCTGAAACTGGAGCACAATAGCTTTTTATCCCACGGAAATCAACTCACAAGGCATTTATTTATACTAGAGACCACTGCAAATGTGATGAAAAGATGAGGGAACTTGGTCTTTAAGAGTTGAAAGCAGCAGTAAACCACACACACACACCTGATCTTCCTTATTCTATATTGTCTTCCTAATGGCTGCAGGTCCAAAAATGGCTTTTCAAGAAGACCGTGCGTGAGCTTCATTACACAGGTGGAGATGCAGCCTTCTTGGACGAGGCTGTCAAGTATCTAGCCATCAACATCTATGACAAAAACAAGCGTGAGCATGCTGGTCGTGTCGCCATCATTTTGACGGCCAGCGTTAATCCTCGACCCATACGTTCCATCGTCAAAATGATCCGAAAGAAATCCATCACCACTCTGACAGTGGCCCTAGGTCCAGAGGTAGATATGGGACAAATTAACGATATCACCAAAGCCAACCCAGACAACAGGGCCTATGTGCTTAGCAGCACAGGAGAACTCCCAGATCGTCTCTTGGAGATAACAGATTACCTCTGCACCTTGGGGATGGAGCCTGAGGAGCAGAAACCTCCAACACCAGCACCTACCAGACCCACAACTAGCACTTCGACAGTTCCACATCTTCAGACAAACCCACATCTAAGCATCACTACTGCTCCCACCACACCCTCAGATGTCACATTCATCCTGGAAGGCTCTGATTCTGTTGGCCAGACCAACTTTAGCAAGTCACTTCTCTTTCTGGAGGAAGTTATCTCCCAGCTAACTGAAGAAAATGAGGTCATACGGATCACTGTGATCCAATACTCTGTTACGGTCACTGTGGAGATCAGTCGCTGGGAACTAAGGAAAGAGAAGTCTCTTTTGCTCAAACGCCTGCGTGAGATTCATTGGAGAGGTGGAAGTCAGACAAACACTGGAGCAGCTGTCAATATGACTCTCCAGGAAACGGCCACAGTCAAACCATCACAAAGCCCCGCCCCTCCTCAGCTCGTCTTTCTGGTGACAGGAAATCCTCCTACTGATACAGTCACACGCCCACCCACTACAAGCACCCAAACACACGTGTTCCCTATTGGTGTTGGACCAAATATACAGGAAATAGACTTGCAACATCTCAGCTACCCTAACCAGCCAATGATGGTGACAGACTACAACCATCTAACAACCCTGGTCCACCGTGTTGTTAACATCACACGTACCACAGTCAGGCCCCAGTCACCCGAACTTCCTCCCCTAGTCCCCAACACACACTCCGTCCCCCCACCAGCAGGTACCTACACCATCCTATTTACATCCTTTAACCCAGTAAGGTCTAAAACTCCTGCTAATATGTGAACCTGTTATCAGAGCCGTGTAAGAAGCCTGTGGACGTGATGTTCCTGTTGAAGGCTGGACAGCAGCTCAAGGACATGAAGGCGTTCGTAAAAGCTTTCATCACTCAGTCAGATATAGGTGGGTGTGTCTAATATTCGTATTAGTGTTAGGATTCATTAGCTGATTAAAATGTGACACTTTGATTCTAGAATATGGAACTGTTCCACAATATTCTAATTATTCTAATTGCATGAAATTCTGAATTAGGGGTTTTCAAATGCTGTAAGCCATAATCATCACAATTATAACAAATATGGGCTTGAAACATCTGGCTTAGCATGTAATGAGTCCATCTCATCTATGAGTTTCACCTTTTTAAGTTGAATTACTGAAATAAATGACCGTTTGCATCATGCTTTGAAGTTTTTTGTAAATCAACTGAAAAGTACAAAAGAAGAAACCTCATTGCAACACAGAAAGTTGGTGGAGTTCAGAGACTACATAAGACTTTTTGAAATTAAATAAATAGGAAGAGACTGTAACACTTTTTGTTTGAGCAAATGTAACTCAGCGGTTCTTTGTGGTAGAGAGCTCACCCTTTAACATGTGGTTCCCATATTTGTTCTGCTACAGATTGCATACATTTGGACTTCTACCTCATTATCACAGATTAGTTAAATGACTGTTAAATACAAATAGGTATGTTGTTACAACCCACCCCAGTACCGGGGTGAGTTGTTACACTGTTAGGAGATGGAGGTCACAGTTAAATTATTATGTAAACGATCCACACTAATAAATGCACAGAAACACTTTTATTCATGGGCTTCAGGAGCCCAAAATGTACAATGCTGACATCTGATCCACTCTTCCCTTGGTCGTCAGTTATCAAAGTGCTCCAAGTACGCAATGCAGACATTTTCAGGTCTCTGCACCGCTGGCTGTTTTATGCACCCACTGCCTAGGCATGATGTAAAACTGAGACCAGTGTAAAATGACAACATGGTAGGGGGAAGGTTGTGATACCTGTTCAGATCTGTCACAACCCACCCCATGCCAGGTTCCTATTAAAAAGCTAAGCATTTTTAGCATTTTGCTTCAAAGCTAGCACTTGTGCTAGATATCAAATCAAAGAAAAGAAATAATTGCTTGAGCTTATGTAAGTCAAACAATTGTATTTGTAACACAGTAGACACTAGGCAAAATTATTTGTGAAGAAAATTTTTATTTTCTTACCATAAAATGTGTTTTATTGTTCCAGAACAGACTGTTTACAACTTGGAGACACGTGGCTTTGCCAGTGTGGTCAATTTGCAAGTGGGCATAAACTGTATTGATGACATCAACGTAGCTCACTTCTGACTGGTTAAACGGAGTCCAGTCTCCCTACAATAGATTTGCTTTTCTTAAATTAGAGTTTTAGCTTATTTCAGTAGCGTCAAAGCAACAAAGCGTGTCCAAATGTTTGAATCTGCTTTCATTCCCAGGATTGAATGGCACTCTGGTGAGCGTGGTTCAGTATGGAGAGACCAACACGGCGGAGTTCATGTGGAAGAATCAGCAGAGCAAATCAAACCTCCTGAAGCTGGTGGAGAGCATCCCAAGCAGAGCCTCTGCAGCTCCAGCACTCGGTAGGAAACGGCAAACTAATGTGCACACGCCATTAAAGTTAAACACACACTAATTGTGGTTTCTGTCTGCAGGATCTGCTCTGAGATTTGCTTTGCAAACATCCCTGTCATTTGCCAGTGGTGGGAGAACTGGCGTACCGAAGGCTGTGGTCATGCTGGTGACCGACAAATCAAGTGATGATGTCAACAAAGCGGCTACGGAGGCGGTGGCAGCAGGTAACTGAGTCGTCATTAAAACGCTAACATCATCTTTCAGATTTTACCTTTAAGGATCTCTTCCTTCAGGTGTGTCAGTGTTTCCAATAGGGATTGGATCAAGCTATGATAAGACTGAGCTCAGTATACTGGGTCGCCATGGTAACCAAGACAACACTCTGAGCCTTAGCAACATGGATCAGCTGCGAATGTTGCTGACTTTGGACAAGAGCTACTTTGAGAAAATATGCAGAGGTGCTTACAGACTTTTTCTTTTTTCATGTTCAGTTAAAACTTCTGAATATTATAATTAGTCTTTAAAAATATGATGTGCTTTGCATTCTAGCTGGTCCTACAAGAGTCTGTGTTGATGATTTGGGGAATGAGAAAAAGGTGGGTAATGGCTGCAGTCTTTCACAGTTTTCACACACTCACCCGTGACTGTTTTCTCTTGATTTTTTTTAAGTCTGGTGAATCGTGGCTGCTGGAAGACGGCTGTCACTCGGTCTTGTGCCACTCCAGTGGAGAAATGACGGTACAAAATCACAAAGTTAGCTGTGACAAACTGGAGCCGCCGGCATGCAGAAACAACATGCAACCTGTCAGGGTCCAGGAGGCCTGCAGCTGCCACTGGGAATGTCCATGTGTGTACACCAAACAGCCGCTAGAGTCCTAGCTTGGCTGTTAATAGATATTTGGAGCTAGCATTCCGCTCTATTAATAGATCGCATTTCTGACACCACTCTTGTCCCTGCTTTTGTTTTCATTGGCAGGCATGTGTATGGGTAGCTCAACCAACCACGTGGTGAGGTTTGACGGCTTGCCTCTCCGGCTGGACGGAGAGGGATCGTGCTCCTACACACTTTTCACCATCAGCAAAAGCATCACTCAAAGCTCAGAGGTCAAGCTTCACACTGGACCTTGTCAAGACTCAGAGAAGTACAACCAGATCTGCATGAAGGCCATGGAGGTGACCCATGGAGAATATAAGCTGATGCTGAAGGATGACATGACGGTAAACTACGTGTGTGCGCGTGTGTGTGTGTGTGTGTGTGTGTGTGTGTGTGTGTGTGTGTGTGTGTGTGTGTGTTTAATCTGATATTCAGAGAGTGACACTGTTTTTATTTGCTTTATTTTTGTGTGTGTCTGTCTGAGCAGGCCATGATTGATCGGGAAGTGCTTGCACTGCCGCTACAGTTTGCCGGCATGGAGCTAGTGCGCTATGGAGGAGTGATGCTACAGCTGAAATCAGATCTCGGCTACGTTTTGACTTTTACGCCTCAAAGCAATGAGTTTACCATCACGTTACTCAGCTCAGCTGCCAGCGGTCACACCTTCGGACTCTGCGGTAACGGAAACACGGCTCGGTTTGCTCAGAGCTATGAAAAAGACCTCGCGAGTGACAAGTGTCTCTTCCTGTCCCTCTTTGTTTTGGCTTTTTTCCTTTTGAGTTGTAATCTTTATACCTTTCTCACAGGTGCATGTGGAGAGGAGAAAGTTAATGTCATGTCATTACGTAACGGTAGCACAACCACCAACCAGCCGGCCTTCATCTCAGACTGGACCACGGCTGCAGGTGGTGGTGCTTGCTTGCCCAAAGCGGAGGCGGTGTGTTTGCCTGCAGTGGCGATGGGCTGTCAGGCCCTACGTTCTGAGGTGTTTGAACACTGCCATGCCCACATTTTTGTCCAGCACTTCATCACCAATTGTGAAGAGAAGGCATGTGAGGAGTCAGATGTGTGTGAGATCATTTCTACCTACGCACGCCTCTGTAGACAAAGGGGTGTGTGTGTGGACTGGCGGAGCCCCCATCTCTGTCGTGAGTCTCTATTTTTAAATTCAGTTGAAACATTTCACAATCTCGGTTCTGACTTTACTTTTCTCTGCGGCCCAGCCTTTAAGTGCCCCAGCTCCATGGAATATGAAGCATGTAGAACAGGATGTGTGGAGGACTGTGGCAGCATACACACACTGCAAGGTGCCTTGTCAGTTGCTAGGGGTAACGAGTCATCCTGTATAGACACGCCTACAGAAGGCTGTTTCTGCACTGGAGGGAAGGTTTTGCATCGTGGACAGTGTGTCTCACCTGAAGCATGCGGGCAGTGTGTCGACCAGCAAGGACACACTCATAAGGTGAGAGAAGAAATACTGACTTGTGTCTGAGTTGTGATTAAAAACAAACATCAGACGTGTTTAACACTTACTGTTCTGAAGTAAATTTAGATTTGACTGCCCTCTGGTGTTTGTAGTTTTTCTTTTCAAACAGCAGATGGAGAATAAAACATTTAATGAGGCCCATTTATAAAACACCCAATGCAAGAAGCAAATAAAAATGTCCGCCTGTGTCTGTGTGCACACGTTTGTCTATCTATTAGCAAAATATCTCATAAGTCACTGGATGACATGAAACTTTCAGAAAGTAATCACAATATATCTATCATGCAAACAAATATTTGTTTGTCTAAGCCCCATCTGACCTGGTAACCAAGTAACCTTAGAAACACAAAAAATACTTTACCTCAGGCAGTTTCACAGATATTCATTTATAATTACATATGGGCCACGTGTAATTGTAAATGAATATCTGTAAAACTGCCTCTCAGCATCAGCCACATGACGTGGCTGATGCTGAGAGGCATCCCTAACACATAATGTTAACAGACTGCATACGCTCCTGCAAATTATGTGAGAGTAAAATCAGAAATCAGGAGGAAAATGGCTTCCTCCAAGGAATACAAGACATTTAATTTGCCCTGTTTTTGTACAGCATCTAGAGGGTTGGATACCAGAAGACAACCCATGTTTGATCTGCATGTGTTTGGACCAACAACACATCAACTGCACTGCCAGGCCCTGCAATGACTTCAAAGGTTGGAGGTTTTTTATTCTTATGTGTTGCTTTACTTGTTGCATTGATGTTTTGGTATCACAATACAATAAGGCTCTCCTCATTAATTGTTATGCAATAAATTATCATTAGCAATTTAATAAATCATTAATAACTGTTTATTATGCATGAATAAAGGGTAAGAATGAGCGAAAGTTGACCATTTCTTGTAAATTGTGTCACTAATCTGTTCTCTCTAATTTGCCCTTAATTAATGCATAATAGACCCATATTAATTATTTATAAAATTTAACAGATTAATTAATAAAACATTTATACACATTTTTAGCCATTTTTAAAGAAGCTTCATTCCAAAGTGGTACCAGCTGTATGATTATTATGTGTTCGTGTGTTTAGCTCCAGCTTGTGGACCCTGTGAGACTCTAAAAGAAAAGAAGGGATCCAAGTGCTGCCCTGAGTATGAGTGTGGTATGTAAACAAAATTATTAAATAAATATTATTAATGTTTTAATTCCTGTTTTGAGACAGTGCAAAAGCATAGATGGTGTAACGGTCATGTGTCATTTACAGTTACAATTGGATTAAGATAACAGTAACACGTTGATAAAGGTTTTATAATCATTTAAAGTAATTTACACACACACACACACACACACACACACACACACACACACACACACACACACACACACACACACACACACACACACACACACACCTATATTAAATTAATTGTTTGCTCCAGGGATTCATCATTATCCATTACAGCAGCAATTAAAAACTAAAATTGATGATCTCTCTCACTCTCTGTGTACTCGTTGCTGATCTAACTCTCATTATGATTTCAGTGTGTGATCTTGGGAAGTGCGACCTGCCTGAGGTGCCCCTCTGTCTGAACGGTCAAACCGCGGTGCTGAAAAATCCCGGCGAGTGTCAGCCCGCCTATCAGTGCGGTACGCTTTCATAGCTAATTCTCTCTGATGTTTGAGCTCTGCTTTGCTCTCTCTGTCGAACAAATGAAAACATGCACCTCGAGTGATCTCTGTGACACAACTCCTCTCGCACCTCGAGTGATCTCTGTGACACGACTCCTCTCGCACCTCGATTGATCTCTGTGACACGACTCCTCTAATTTTTTTCCTCTCAGTGTGTAAAAAGGAGGAGTGTTCTCTTCAAGCTCCCCCTGAATGCTCGGCTCATCGCCAGCTGTCAGTCAAAAAGACAGCATGCTGTGATGAGTTTGAGTGCACGTGCAACTGCCAGAACTCCACCCACACATGCCCTATCGGGTTCGTCACGTCCTCCTTTACAAACGACTGTGACTGCACAGAGATCCTGTGCAAGCCTGAAAAGGTGGGTGTTTAAACCCCAAACATCCTACTTACTGCACATATGTCGCTGGATTCACATCCCACGCATGCTTCCAGGTGTGTGTTGTCAGTGGCACCGTTCACCCTGTGGGAAGTGAATGGGATCAAGGGTGCAAGAAATGCACATGCACAGAACTCCAGGACAAAGACACATCTCTTCATGTTGCTCAGTGTAAACCACCTATTTGTGATCAGAATTGTCCCCTGGTGAGACGCCAGCAAGCGTGTACGTTTAGCGCATTTTCATAAGAAGTCATTCTAACATTTGTTTGATGTGGATTTCAGGGTTCAACATATATTCAGACTAACGAAGAGTGCTGTGGGAAGTGCACACCAATCAGTTGTGTGGAGACAGAGGGAGAGGTGAAAGGAAAGCCTCTTACTGAGGGGAAACTCAGACACGTACGTGTGCATTTGTCTGTAGCGCTAGCAAACACTCTCATAAATCTCTGGATGGATTTTAATGAAACATCAAAAAGGAGCGATTGGATGTCCGTCTAAAACCGTCCACAGCTAATCAGCTTTATTAAACACAAGAATAGATACAGATTTGTCAATTTCACAGATAACAAGCACATTTTTGGTGTCATTGTAGCAGAAAGAAATTCACAGCATCTACTATGGGTGCTAAAGGAGATACGAATGTTATATTTGAGTTGGATTATTCTCAAAATTTGACCAAAACTGCTAAAATGTGATTGTTCAATGTAAGTCTTAGTTTGAAAATGTGAAATGGAAGGTTGCAATGCCTTAAAATGCATTTTATTGTCGTTCCTTGTGTTTTTATGCATCGATACCAAAAAAATGCGTTTTGCAAAAATCAACAGTAACATTTCAGGAAGAGTTATGAATAAGTGCAACATTTGATTTCATTCCCACGTGTTTGTGTTTAGGTGGGTGAGGTGTGGCCGTCTCCACATGATAAGTGTGTCCTGTATCAGTGTGTGAAAGTGAACAATGAGGTATTCATCTCTCAAACAAACATCAGCTGTGCCATCATGGACACTCCAAGCTGTCCACTGGGGAACGAGCTCCGTTGCGACACCCAGGACTGCTGCCCCCGCTGCCGCTGTGGTAAACCACTCAAACAGGGAAACATGATCAAGACCTTATTAGGAAACCCGCCACCAATGATGGAAATTCACCTGAAATGCATTTTCCTCTTCCTTAGCATCAGAGATGCCGTTTGTCACCAACGGATGGCTCTGTCAGACTGTTCTCCATTTACAGCGTGTTGTCCATGTGTGACCTTTTTTAAGAGCTTGACTTTAATGAATGATTCTGCTCTTCTCTGTGCAGTTCCTATGAATGGCTGCATCCTCAATCACACTGTGATCGGAGTAAGTCACTCAGAGACACGGAAATCCGTTCTGCAGGGATGAAATATAGATGGGAAATAAATTCAGTCTTATTATCTTGTGTGTGTTTGTGCAGGCAGGGGAGAGATTGATGGTTGATGCGTGTACACAGTGTGAGTGTACAGTGAATATTGGCCCAGTCACAAAATATAAACTATCCTGCAGACAAACCAGCTGCCCAGCTTGCCCCAGGGTTGGTGATGATGTCATTACAACTTCCCATCTTCTCTCTAACTTATTAATACATTCAATGCTTTTGTATCCAACTTGCCATGATGTTCTAACAACACACACTCTTGGAGGCTACTTTCTCCTGTCCTGTGGCACATGATGCTTTATGGTCATCTGTCTTTTTCATTTACAGCAGCATTCCTTTGATGTGTTTCCATGTGTGAGTTAACATTCAAACACATATTTTTCAGGGATACACAATGCAGAAGGAGGAAGGGAGTTGCTGTGGACGTTGTGCTGCCACTGCCTGCTTTGTACAAAAACCAGATGGAAAGCTCATCAGTGTACAAGTAGGTGCAGATGATGCCTTGTTCGAGAAACCTGTAATGAGGTTATGCATGATGCTATTACAGCTGCTATGGCAACAATGTTTGTGCTTCAGTAAGAGCTTAGAACGAGATCTCGGATAGAAGCAGAAATTAGTTTTCTCCGCAGGGTCGCTGGGCTCTCCCTTGGAGATAGGGTGAGAAGCTCAGTCATCCGGGAGGGGCTCGGAGTAGACCCGCTGCTCCACCCCGTTGAGAGGAGCTAGTTGAGGTGCCTCGAGCATCTGGTCGGCATGCCTCCTGGATGCCTCCCTGGTGAAGTTTTCCAGGCACGTCCAACTGGGAGGAGATCCAATGGAAGATGCAGAACACGCTGGAGTGACTATGTCTCTTGCCTGGCCAGAGAACTCCTTGGGATTTCCTGGGGACCTGGGGAGAGGGAAGTCTGGGTATCTCGGCTTAGGCTGCTGCTGCCCCCGCAACCCGACTTTGGATAAGCGGCTGAGAATGGATGGATAAGAGATAAGAGGCAGTTTGATAAGGATTGTCTTTGTGGTACATTTTTAATTTAGATATTTTTAATATTTTTTCCACATGTCTTTATAATTCCTATCTGAAATGCAAGAGATGAGAGAAGAGATCACGTTGAAGGGGAGTCTATACTTGTTGCGTTTCAATACATTTTCTGTTAATTTAGCATAAAAACCAATATGATGACTCAACCAAAGGCTTTTACATCCGTTTTCAGTAAGACATTCTGCATAGTAAGTCATCAACAAGACTGTTAAAACGTTTTTCATCTACATATGTGCTCCTGATGCACATTTATTAAGGAGCAAGGTTACTGAAAATCCATTTTTAATTTGGAAGCTAACATTAGCATTAGCAACTCCACTACATAGCAGAACTCCTTCAGGCTTGTGCTATTTGTGGAGATAAAACATCAACATTGCAAAGCAAACAGAGTCAGCGGAAGAGTCATGTTGATGTTTACCAATCAGAGGCGAGATGTCTGAATATCAGCAAATAAGACTTTAGATTCTGCAATGTACTCCTCTGGCTAACTCTACTTCCTGAAACAGGAGCGCTAGAGGGGTTTTCCCCACAGAAATCGACTCACAAGGCATTAATTTGTACTAGACCACTGCAAATATACTGAAAAAATAAAATAAAATAAAAACGAGTAAACTTGGTCTTTAGTAACATTTTCACCAAGATGTTGGCTTAAAACAGGCGTAGACACCAAACATTAAAATTAAAATTAAAATCCTTCTCATGTACCTGTGTATGTCCACCATCAGGTCAACACAACTAGTGAGGATGGCTGCAACTTGCATACCTGTGGTGTAAACAGCAGAGGAGATCTTGTCCTGGAGACAAGAGTGACCACCTGTCCTCCTTTGAACCGCCAAGTCTGTCTGGATCAGGGGGTACAGTCTCCAGACCTTTAAGCATGTTCTCACACACATAATTTTCTTCTCAACCCAAAGCTTTTCACACTGATCCTTTCTTTTGTGGTTATTGTCTTCAGGGGAAAGTCAGTAAGATTGGAAACACGTGCTGTGAAATGTGTAAGTGGCCTCTGTGTGAGAGTATGAGAAAATACAAATGCTTTGATTTTAATAAATAGTTGGGTTTGTGAAGGTTCTGAACCAGAGTGTCGGAGGACAGCAGGAACACTCAACTATGTCAGCGTAGATGACTGCCATTCAGAGCAACAGGTTGAGCTGCACTATTGTGAGGTAACAAACGCACACATTTGAGAATAAAACAGTTTTAGCCTCTAAACATCTGCAAAGCCACATTAACTTCCCGTGCCACCCTTTCTGTCAGCCCCTGTGATCCTTCTGCCTCTGCCTGCTTTGTCTTTCAGGGCAAATGTCGCAGTAAATCGATGTACTCGCTGCAGAGTGCCGCCGTGGAACAGGAGTGTGTGTGTTGTGCTGCCGTGGAAACAGAGCCTCTCAGTGTGCCCGTTCTGTGTGCCAACGGCACTCGGAGCCACCACACTGTCCTGTCTGTAACTTCCTGTGATTGTATGTCCAAACACTGCACCTGAACAGAAACTGAGTTTATCAATGTTGATATTATGTGTGTATTCATGTCATGAAAATGTACCCTTATAGAATAATCCAACAACAAACAGCAATAAAACACATGACACTTTTTCTAAAAGATGTATTCCTATATGAAATAAAATCATTACAAATTTAGTTTTTAAGCTGAATCAAGTCTAATACAACAACTGTATAATATTTTAAGTATTTATAAATATTACAGTCAGAAGGCGGGAAAATAATAGAGAAATAAAATTGGCCCTTGCCACTTTTAGAACTTCCACCAGAGGGCAGTAGACCTGTATGAGACTGGATAAGGTAAGTTTCTGGTTGAACCACATGTTAACAGGGATCATATGTGTTTCCATTGCCACAGCTCAGTGCAGCAAGGCATACTTTGTTACATTTAACTTCTATTCATCATTAAAGGAGCAATATGTACGAAATCTACAGTGAGGTAATCATTAAACACTCTGTCTCAATCATGTTGGAAGGAAAGTTATACTCAGTGCTTAATTTGAGCCGGATCTTGCCGGAACAAGATCCGGGAACTATTTTATTTTGAAAGGACCATGCCGGCAATTGTCTGCTAGGATCCGGCAAGTCACGCGACAAACTTGTGCCATATGCAGGATTCGAATTACAGGTGAGCTAAAGGGAGATGCTGGAAGCCCTCAACACACCCAGGGGGAGCCCCAAAACGATCCTGGTTCTACTTATATTACATTATTTATGTGGACTCTCCGATGATTTTGAGCTGAGAGACGCAGAGCTCTGATCGTTGATGCGCTCCAGACAGATGCATCCTGAGAACGGCCACAGTAACATTATCAAAGTGTCGCCACCTCAAAATCAAATTTAACGTGCGATCGTTTATGTCGGCTCATTTCCTTTTATGGTTTCTGTCTTTTATTTGTGCCTGATGCGTTTCGCTGCTGCGGAGCGGAGCGGAGCGCATCACCTGTTTTGTTCTCCGGTGACTTCACCGCACCGGTGGGGTCTGCGCGTGGCGCGCACTCCGCTCTATTTGCGTTCGGTAGATATTTTTGAGCTGCAGTTCAAAGGTATCTCATAAGGTAAATACATATGAAGCCAGATAGCAGTTTTTCTTTTGGATTGAGGAGATGCAGGAAGATAATAGATGGAGACAGAACAAAAATAGTCAAACAAAAACAAGTTAGTTTTTGTACCTGGTTGTTGCAACAAACAGACACCACTGAAGGTAATCAGAAGTGAGGAACAGAAAATGAATTTATTCATTCAATGTTTAGAGCAGCATGAACTCTGAGAGGCTGCAAGCGCACCAGGGAGTTTGCGGCCGCTGCGCAGGGGGAGGGGGCGGAAGCAGGAGAACAGTAAAGATGCAAACTTTACCAATGTTAAAAGAAATGTGTTGTGGGCACAATTTGAATTACTTGTCAACCCGCACATTTGTAATTTGACACCATCCACCAGACCACTCCAGAGTTGTGGACTATGTGTTAGTCAGTAATAAGAGCAGCCCAGAAGTTATTTTTTGTACTTCTAAGAAGCCACGATATTTTTTTGTTTATATCAGGTAAAGGCTAACGAGCTAACAATCAACAGTCACACTGATTTAGCAACAAATAATCAGCTCTAATAACATGGAGGTGCTTTTATCAATTCCAAATAATCCAATATTATAGTGAAATGTTTTAATCTACTTATCAGCTTACTGTGTGTGACTAGTTTTTGCTCATCTTCCAGATCATCATCTTCTGGTGCTGATCTGTAGCTGGCAATCAGCATTAAAATCATAGTGAGAGAGTGACTTGTGTATTTTGAAAACTGGACTGCAGTACCCAACTTTGACCACATGATGTCATTCTTACTTTATTCTTACATAACTCCCCTTTAAATAGAAATAACCTTTAAATACACTCCACCACTGGCATTACTTAAACCCGAATGCAAAAATAACAAAAGTTTTTGCATGAGTCATTATTTTAGCTGCAACCTATTCACATTTATACCCTCAACAGTAAAAACTGTGGAGAATATTTGATGCTATTCTACACTAAAAAAACTGAATTATTTTATCTTAATAAATTTTTTATTTCAATCAAAGTGAGCAGGAAGTTTATCTATTGTGCATCTGGGTGATACCTGCCTGCAGAGGGAGGCTGAGGTTCAGTTTCCGATCACCTGCAAGCTCTTCTGTTGCTTTAGACACACGCGCAGCTCGATAATTTACCCCCACATCTTCCCTACCCTTGCTCCCGCATGGATCAGTCAGGGAATTAGCCGCCCTGTTCGCGCGCAATAAGCCAGTGGTTCAGAGAGCGCGCGGATTGTCCACCATCTCAGCCTCTCTGGCGATGCAATGTCCGATCATCATTTATTCACATAAAGAAGTGTTTCTTCGCGGGCATTGGTGAGTTCTTTTTAGAACTTTGGTTCATATTAAACCTCTGTAGTCGCTTTTATTGCATCATTTCGCTCTCAAACGCACTTTAATTTGAAAAAGCAGATGGTTAAAGTGATGATTAAACGTAGGAGTGAACTCTGGTTCTAAAGCTGTGCTTGTGCCTGTTTTTACGCACAACTATTGCGCACGAGCATTTAATTAAGCACCCTGAAACAGCCACCCTGGGATTAATTAGTCAGAATGGACTAAGGACTTAGACTCCAAATCCAAGAAGTTTGGGAAAGAAAAGGTTTCGAAATATTTTTTTTTTTGAGTGGAACAAGAAGATGCCAAAAAGGAACGAGGTGTTGTGTTTTAGGAGTATTAAAGCAGCTGCCCCGTGCCAGTCAGTGTCTGCATGGCTCCAGCCTCTGTCGATGAGCTGACAGAAAGCTTTCAAGCCGTTAAGCTCGCGCTGAGACGCGCACGCAGCCGCGCGCGCATCTACTTCAGAGCTATAACGGGAGAAGGTCAAATAAATACCCTAAAAGTAATTTGTACTTTAGTAGAATGAACCACTACCTGCATGACAAACATTACAGGTGAAGTTAGAGTATCAGACGTCACAATAAATAAATAATTTAATTAATACTCATTCCTACCTTTGGGAAATTGTGAACTGCACAGATTTTATCCCTTTGATTTGTTCCATAAGCCCAGGAGAAAATGCTTCAAAAACAAAATGGTTAAAATATGGGAAAATGTTGCATTAGACGTTTAGAATAAATAGGTAATTGGTTTTCACTGAGTCTTAAAGTCTATATTACATATTGAGGAATTGTCAGTTTTCTTTCATCCATGATGTGGAGGGAGGTTTGGTAAATTCCTAAAATTAGCTACAGCAACGGTGTCCATGCTGGTTTGCTTCATGGGTCACGTAAACATTGCTGGAAGCAACAGCTGGAGGAAACAAATTTTGAGTAGCTTGTATGTTAGAAGTACATGTATATGTATCACTATCTTAAAGCAATCAGTTACATTTACCCAAAGTTTGATCAGCTTTAGAGCAGCTGAAGGTAAAACAAAGACTCAGCTGATTGAAAACGATTTAGTTTGTTCTGCACTTTGTCAGTGTGGAGTGAGTCAAAGATTCTTCGGAGCTGCAGGCTGGACCTGTAATATAGCTGACTTGTTAGAACATTTTCAAAAGGGGTTTGCATTTATACACATCAATGAAGTAATCGAAGCGTCCCATTGATTTGTGTATGCTTTTAAAAAGTCTGCAACTCAGGAAGTCCAGTGCACTCAGCAGGAGTTGTCCTCTCTCACCAGAGATGATGCACCTGAAACGCATCATTTGTTATCTAAACGTGTCATCCATCAAGCAAAAAATAGGTTTGCACTCTGCCAGTTTTGATCAGTTGGCTAAAGTTATTATTATTATTATTATTATTATTATTAGGGCCATTTTCCATCATTAAACCCTCTGCATGGGACTACTGTGTAATTTAATATCATAATAAGAGATTTTGGGCTATTTTTATAAGTAATTGTATGTTTAGTAAACTATTAAGAATTCTCTTGCTTTTTCTCTTCAACTTATTATGTCTGCATTGTTGGAAGCAGTACATATGAAATGTTCATAACTAAGTAAAATAAAAGAATAAAGAATAAATATTGACTGGTTTCATAGAGGAGTTTTATTAATAAAGACCGTGTCTCTGTACTTTTAGGTAATCATCAAACCATATTGACTGAGCCACACCATCACAAGATTTATTTCTGAGAATTTGTAGTGCATGAGCTTAGAGAAGGAGGCTTTGGTGAAATATGATGGTCAGGAGAGACACCTTGTGGATCAGGTGGCAAATATGCCATATTTGGAGCATACTGATGGGAATCAGACCAATTCTGCAGTTGACGTCATTTAGCAAATGCTGCTCGGTGCTAATGCTAGACAAGCAAACCGCATTTACCAATTCAAAAAACACGGACAGAGCGTTTGGGCATAGAGAAAAACAACTCAACAGACACAAAATTCAAATGTTTATGCTCAAAAAGTTATTGCTCTCAGTCCTGACCATTTCCAATTATTTCTGTGGATTCACACCTGAGATTTCACACATTCTTTCACTGGTCTTTTACTGAACTCATTCAAATGCTTTACATCTCAGAGGATGGTCCAAGTGACCAAATTACCTAAACAGATTATAAACTGTGTCGTCCGGATTTGCTTAATCTGACCCTACCACATGAAATGAGTAAAACGACCTAACAAGACTGAGTTAGATTCGTAGTTTACAGCAATAAAAGAAAAAGTCTGGGAAAATGTGATTTTTTTAATTGCTTGTTTTTTATTATCAAAATCAGGTTTTATTTTCAAATACAATGAGAATCATGATGAATTCCTCAGTTATCATATGATTTGATTATATTTTAAGTTATATTTAAACAATATAACTACTTAAAAGTTACGTCAATATTTAAAATAACTGTGGAAGGTTAATCCATTAAGATGCCTCAAAATTTTTTAATTCTGCTTTGGTTTAAGCAACACTAAATACGTTTCCTGCTTCTCCCACCGACTGGTTGAAAGCGGAATTACAAATGTCGTAAACAACTCTGCTGCAGCCAGCTTTAGCTAGCGTTAACATGGAGCTAACACTATGAGCAAACTGATACTAAAAAAAATCACAAAGTTAAAAGATCCACACTGCTGGACAAAAATATTATTGCTTACAAGTTCAGTAGCAACAAAGCCAGGTCATCATCAGTCTGGAACTTTGTAGCCTTCTTTAGCTCCCTCCAACAAGTAGGCAGAGCCAATGTTCCCTCTGGTTTTAGCTCTTTGCTTTCCCACCAAAGACATTACTCTCTTATTTTTTATTTTATTTTCAGGCTTCACCATGCAACAAAAAAGCTAAATTCATTATCTTCTTGTGCTTTTTTTTGACGGTCAGAGAATGGAAAAAGCTAACTGTTAGCCTTTATATAAGCTACCTGCACAGTAAAGAGCTATTCTGATAATCGTGAAGCACACTGAATTTTCTCTGTGTTTGAAATGTGCTCTATAAATAAAGCTTGCCTTGCCTTTTACCGTAAAGCAGGTAGAGACCTCCCACTTGTGTCAGTACCCGAACAAAAACTGTTAAGTTCAGTTTCTGGTGAGCAGATATCTACAGAGGGCTGTCCAATGTGAATGTGCTTAATTGTATGGCTGAACAACCACTAAAACCACTTTGAAGCAATGGCTAAAGTATTAAAAAATTTAGTATTACTTTAAAGAATAGTCATACAAAGAATTTTTATGAATAACTAAAAACTTTGCTAATTACATTTCCAGTTATTTTGCTTATTGAAATGAAAAGTGATTAATCCATTTTTCATGCTCCAACAGAGGGATGAAACGGAAAAGAGCATATATCCTTCATAACAGCAATGAGTGAGCCATCCACTTTTCACTCAGTGAAGCTTGTTTCGTTGGCCCGATCTCTGTCTGGGTTTGGACTTGATCCTGCCAATGGAGGGCCTGCAAACCCCCCAGAAGATGAGGAGCCTCCACTGCCGGTAAAGTTCCCAAATCTCATATTTGCCTCTGCGAATCTCCCTCATTAAATATCCCAGTTTTATAATTGTCATTCTTGAACATCACAGTGAACACCTGTGCAGTGGCGGATTTAGCAATTTGGGGGCCCAAGGCGAACACAGACATGGGGACCCTTACACAAAATTTTCGACTATCTTACCTTTAACTGGATTTGCGAAACTCTCCCCTCTTCTGACATGAGTTATTTTCCCTTTTTATTAGTCCTCCTCTTTTTTCCTGTCTTTCCCTGCCTTTGAGCGCTTTCAATATTTGCTCTGCTTTCTTCCTCCTGTTAGTGCTCCTGTGCTTTTGCCTTTGCTTTTTTTGTCTTCCTATTTGCCATTTTGGTCTATGTTTTCCTCCCTTTAAATATTTTCCATTGCCTTTCCTTTTCTGCTTCCTTTGATGTTTACATCAAAAAACAACTTCACTTTCAGAAGTGAAAATAAAAGCTTTTTTAAAGCAAACTGCTTCTTTCTCTTATTGGAGCCACTAGGATAACTCCATTTCATGCTTAATGTTTAGACTATCGCTTTGAGTTTGTTACGAACACTCCCGCCTCTCCTCTTCTTCTTATTTGTGGTCTTATGGTAGCCTGGCAAGCCAGAGTGACTAAATAAATGTATTATTTAGTCTGGCCACGCTCCATTGACGTCTCTCGGTTGTGGGGTGGGTTCTACCGTTGTCTTTCAAATGATCTCCGCATTCCACTGGACAACGAATGTGACATACTCTTGTTTCACTCTGTTGCATCATCCCACCCACCAGGCATATAGAGTGCCCTGACTGGCCCACAAAGCAGATAAAGCTCTGTGATTTGTTCACTAATCAGATAGAGCACTATGATTGGCCCACCATTATGGACCAATCACAGCTCTTTATTTGTTTGAAAACCCTCTAGAGAGTTGTGATTGGCTAGCCAGAGTCCTGCTGCGGAGGTTCCAATGGAGCATTCCTTGACCAAACTTTGCAAAGCAAGAATTTAGTCTAGCTCACTAGGCTAGTCTTATGGCACTGGGCAAACAACAATTTGGTGCATTACCGCCAACAACTGGATTGTAGTGGAATGACTACCAATCACTTCCTGTTTGTGCATCGCCATCTTAATAACCCTCTTATGATCACAATTATAACAGGGCCACCTGGTATTTTTCTTATTGCCGTAAAATTGTAATAAAATGTACAAAGTGTGTGTAACTCTTCTCCTTTTTTCAGAACAACCTCAGCTTTTAGTGTATGGTTTGTATTTAGAATTTATTTCTATTAAAGCCTTTAAAAAAATCAGCTTAAAAGTGAAAAAAGCAACAAAAAACGGATTTGAAATTTTTTACAGTATTACTGAACAGGAACTTCTAAATGACTTGGGCAAACAATTTAAACTTTGAACTGTAATACATCTATTCTTAAAAAAATAGGAACCACGGTATCTGTTTTTTTAGCAGTTTTAAGACCATTTATTTTTGTAAACTTTCAGACGTTTTTATCTGATGTGGTAGGCCTTGAAGCAGTTTCTCTCCAGCTGCAGGCAGAGTCCCACTCTGCACACCTCACTCTACCATGGGGTGCTTCTCTTGCACACCGTGCACTGCTATACCAAAAACTTTTGTTTTAGCAAAAATAGTTATTTATTGTAAAAAGCTAAATAATGCTGGAATAAATCTGAATCTTACAATTAGCAAATAGTTGAGGGTTGTTCAAATGAAAAAATAAAAAATAAAGACTGAACAAACATTCATACCCTGGTTCACTGGAGATCTGTCCTTCGTGGTCACTGTCTTCAGATATAAGCCTTCTGGGACACCTAGTGGATCGTGTTGATTTTCTTTGAGGCTTTTCCATAATTTCATGCCGGCTTTTTATGCTGATTAACTTCCCCTTTCCGTTATCCGCTTTCACCGCGGCACGGCACTCCGCTGTGCTCCGTTTCAATCAGGCTGTACAGCAGGATTTCCATAACTCTGATTGCTTCATGCTATAGATCGTTGGAAAGCTGCTTTTATGTACTTTTAGAACCCGGTGGAATTCTTTGAATCTGATCAGCCATTCAAAAGTTATAAAACGGAGCATTTTGGATGACGAACTCAGCACGTTTCTGAATCTGTGTTGTGATACGTTGCGCTCAAGACAGGGCATTCTGGTGGCTACCATCATGTAATGTATATGCACGAAAAGCCCCATTTTTAATCTTTTCAGCACCTTTGGAATTATACAGATATCTTGAACGGTTCAAGAATTATGGCAATTAGAAATGCGCATGTACAATCTCGTCGGCGGCGACAGGTTGGTAATAAGATTATTGTGGCATTAACAGAGGGGTGCCGGCGGTCAGGGCTAGGGGGCCCCCCAACATCAGGGGGCCCCAGGCGGCTGCCGACCTATGCCTAATGGTAAAACCGCCACTGCACCTGTGATATAATTCATCACTAATCCAAATATTTCTTAAATATTTATTTTTGTTTGCCTTTTTTAGGAGTCTGGTATTGATCTAGGACCTGGACTCTTTTTTGCTGATGGCAAGAGGAAAGTGGATTATGTGCTTTGCTACAAATACAAGAAAAGACGTTCATCTAAGGGACGTCTCTCCATCTCCTCCAACGGGACTGTGCCACTAATTATTCCAGTGCGATCGGAAACTGAAGCAGAGTCTGGGGAGGCAGGCGCTGCAGCAGGAGAGCCAGAAGAGTCAAAGCTGACTGAGGAGGAAAAGGTTTTAATGAGGGAGGAGTTCGAGGCTGGGCTGCTGGAGGCCGGGCTGCAGATTGAGAGAGATAAAGAGGTGTGATTATGTCGTGACATAACGTTGCATACGTTATATGTGGAATGTTCCTTTTTTTATTTTCATTGCATGTTCATGGTTGTGTTAGTTTCTGAGTGCATTTGCATGTGAGTTAAATCAGCTGGTGTTGTTGTTAGGGATTAAAAATGCTGACTGTAAGTAACTGGAGCCAAAGGCTGGATTACAAAGGCCTTCTTAGAGAGGAATTCACTCATGTTTGCTGGCAAAGCGTTAAACTCAGGGATGACTTAAGTACTCTTCTTTTCTGAATAGTTAAAACAATATGTGGTCTATATTTTGCACTGGATGCATTTATCATGCATCTCCTTGAAATTAGGAGTGAAGTACAACAAAAAATCAGATATATTTTGCAAATTTTTGATATTGTTTTAGGTTAACCATTTAAAGATTGATATGAAAATGAAAATTAGCATTTGTAATTTGTAGTACTTAAATTGTCCACTAGAGGGACATATTTAGAGTTGAAAATAGCTGATTTCAAAGGAATCTACCATCCCTGTTAAGAGGAAAAGCTCTTAGAAACAGGAATTATAGAGTTAACTGTAACAACACAAGTAAAAACATCCATATTCATTTAGATTCAGGTCAGTTTCAATGTGGATTTAATCAAAAGCGGTTATAATGAATGTGCTCACATGTAAACTTCTGAAAATATCTCACCTGGTGGAGCTGCAGGTGATCTGTCCTACCTGTTCTGCCTGAGTCCCGGCAGTGATTAAATGGACAGACTTGAAGTCCAGAGAACACAAAATCTAAGATAGGTCAGTTTTAATGTTTTTAAAGAATCCACATCTGGAACAAATAAATCTATCTGCACTTTAACTACTAGGTCATATTTAAGGATCCATGAAAACAAGTGAATGTTCTGCTTCAGCAAAAAAAAACCCATAAAAAATACCAGCAGCCGTCATAGAACTTCAGTCTCCTTTGATCAGTTTTGTACTAAATTTTGGGATCTGAGAAAGGAGATCCAAATTTAGTCAACATCTCAAATGCTGATGGATTTATCAGTAAAACTCTGATTAACTATAAGTTTTTGCCAACATAAGATTATTATTTGTATATATGCTCATAAATTAATGGCTAATGGCTTGCTATAGTACTTCGTACTATTATGTGAAGTGCAAATAATTGATATAGGATGTTCACTAATATCATATTTTTATCTAAAAAATTGTGTTTAAATTAAATTAAAGTGTGTTTAACTGACATGCACGATAATCTTAATCAACAATACACATTGACCCAGAATCCATCATTTCACCAAGATCTGCAATGCAGTAGTTCATTAGCAGTTACCAAAACGTTATTTATATATTTACCTGACAATTTTTTCTCCTGCTAAATATTGCTGCATTGTGCAATACTGCAGAAAATCCTATAATGCTTCTCATATTTTCATGTGTGCATTTACACGCAGAGGGTGAATGGTCTGGGGTTTATTCGGCTGCACATCCCATGGTCCATTCTCAGTCGTGAAGCCGAGCTGCAGAAGATTAAAGTTGCGGTAAAGAAGGTAAAATTGTAAATGTAAAATTGTATTGTAAATTGTAAAGTAAGTTCATCTTCATTGCAGAGCAAACTTGAATTCTAATGATGTGAATAACACTTCTTTTCATAAATAGCATACTATTTTAGGGAGATGTTTCAGAGCTATTAGACAAGAAGAGACACACAAAGATCCTTTTCATCCACCCGAGTCTTGTGGATGAAACAGCAATGCTGTGCTGCAGACTAACAGACCACTTCAACTGTTTGCTTTAGAAAAAAAATCGCTCCAAAAATAGCAACACAATTTAGCTCCTGCTTGACACCAACAATAATTTGCCTGCAATGCAATGTTCTCTCTCTCCTTCTCCTTCCGGTGTGTTAAGGTCCAATTGCTAAATTTAAAGATTGTAATTGTTAGGGATGTAAGAAAATGTCAATACACAGAAATATTACAACATTTTGTGCTATGACACTGAATCGATAATTAAATAAAAGCAGTGGATGATTTTTAGTTGTATTTGCGAGTCTACATGTGTCTATTTACTGTATATTTCTGTGTGGTTCAATTCAAACTCTGACTGCTGGGTGGCAGCAGGTTTTACCGCCTTCATTCTAATGAAACAATCAGATCGTGTGATAACACTGGGTGCGTTTTGAAAGCGTCTGACCAGAGTTTTCCTATTTAATTCAGTCTTAAAATAAAAAAATTCGTCTGGCTTTTAGTATCGTATTATTTCGTCTCCCCTTTATTGTGCCTTCATCGGGTCGCAGAGGCAGCAGCCTAAGCAGAGAAGCCCAGACTTACCACTCCCCAGCTACTTTGGCCAGCTTCTTCGGGGGAATCCCAAGGTGTTGCTTGTTCCATGTCCTGGATCTTAATTTAGGTCTCCTCCCAGTTGGATGTGCCAAGAAAACCTCATCAGGGAGGCGTCTGGGAGGCATCCTAGCCAGAATACCGAGCCACCTGGCTCCTCTTGATGTGGAGGATCAGTGAATCTACTCCAAGCCCCTCCTGGATAATCAAGCTTCTCACCCTATCTCTAAGGGAGAGCCCAGGCACCCTGCAGAGAAAACTCTTTTCAGCTACTTATATCCGTGATGCCACCTTTGCGGTAATACCCAAAGGTAAATCAAGAGTTTAGCCTTCTGGCTCAGCTCTCTCTTCACCACAACAAACTGGTACAATGCCCTCACTGCTGTAGATGCCGCATCAATCCTCTTTGCCATCTTCCGCTCCATTTTTCCCTCACTCGTGAACAAAACCTCGAGATACTTAAAGTTCTCCACCTGAGGCAGGACCTCATCCCTGTCGTATCACCAGATTCTTGCCAATAACACATCCCTACCAGCTGTTATAATTAACTTTGATCAGCTTGGTTCTCATACATGGTTCCTTTGGACAGAAATGTGAGTTGCGGAAGCGGACCGGCATTGCTGGAAAGTGGGATTCTTTTGTTACCAAACTGAACAGACTATTTCAGCCTGATGTTCCTGACATCGACGTCCACAGAGACTCGCAGTCACGGGTCCACTTCAAAACCCTCAAGCACCCCTTCATCAGAGACAAGCTCCACCTGTGAGTACACACGCTTTCTGTTTGGCTTCATAGATTTTTGTCAACACCTAAAAGTTGATGCTCTTCTAATTCCTGGATTAATGTGTGCGCAGATACGATATCAAGTCAACAGCTACTCTGTTTGACAATGCAACACGGAGCAGAATAGTGAGTCAACGAGTTAAAGTCAGACTTTGATTTATTTAGCTTCTTGGTTTTTAATTATATCAGTGATCACAAATGATTTGCTTTACAGTGCTGTGTGTGCTTCTAGGTTGCAGAGATAATTTCACGCACTACCTGCACCCGCACTTGCCAAACCACAGGTGAGGCGCAACTTTTGCTCTTTAGTAGTAAAATTGCAGTGAAGTTTGTCCTTGTCTGTTGTCATTCATCACAAAATGAACTTTGTGTTGCTCTCATTTTTTTCTGTCATGAGGCATTCACTCATTACTGGCCCGAGGTGTTTATGACTCTGCCTTCCCTCTGCATGATGTGAGTTAAACAAAAGCACCAAACTCACTGAAGAGTTCACAGTTTCAGCTAGTGCACCGATTTAGTGCAGGCATGTTTTTTCTTCTTCTTTCAAATGAACTGGTTCAGTCTTTTTAAACAGCATAATTTTACACCAGCATTAGAGCAGAAACATACGATAGGACTGATCTTCTGAGAATAAAATATCGGAAGGTTGGAGCACACGGGTGAGCCAAGGTGTATTAGGTGAAAGTAAAAAAAAACGTTTCAACCCTGGAAGTGTCCTCATCAGACAATAAAATTCACTGTCTCATGTCAAGAACTGATTTCTCTTTAGGGGTCGTTCACAAGAAGAGGACGGAGAGATCAGCGAAATGACAGACAGGTGAATTGATTGATCTCTGATTGTGTTTTATTATTAATACAAGAAAGTTATTATTATTATTATTATTATTATTATTGTTATTATTGTTGTCATTACTATATTTTATCTATTTAGCTTTAACTGAAGCTAAAAGGCAAAAAGAGAAAAAGTTTTAAGCTTTTTTCTTATATTTTTGAATATTTGAGGTAATCAGTGACCAGCTGCAGCACAGATTGCAGTCCCTACATTACACACCACCAGAAGTTCATGCAAAGCAACTCAAAAAGCCAATAATTTGAAGTGAAATTTTATTTAATGGCTGGTGATCAGGCACAATGTTTGTCTTCCAGTGAAATTTTACTCAAATTCAGCTTACTCTGAGATGTATCTTTTATTGTGTGTGTGAGTGTGTGAGTGCACTCATTAACTGTAGACACAGCTGGCTTTCTGTACTCGTGCAACCTTATTATTGACAGAGGTGTCACGAGTGGAACTTCACACTGTGTCATTTCCCCAGCGACGTGTGCAGGATTCAGGAGGAGTGTTTTTTGCATGATACACATCTTACAGGGGAAATAGTAAGGGCTAATGTGGACATTATATATTATTGGGTTTTCTGTCCTCTTGATTTCAGTCTTATGTTGTTTTAGGATCATTTAAAATGTATCATCAGCCTGCTGGGAAATTCAGTGAAAATCAGCTTTATTTTTTGCTTTTTTTCTTGTATGTTTATACAACAAACTAAATTACTGATGCTAAAATATTTACATTCTCTTTTAAAACCAATCTAGACCAGACATTTTAACCAGATGTTCATATGTTTATAAATATTTCTATTTTATACCTCTTTGAGCCACTTAAATAAAAAAAATACATCAGCATAAAATAGTTTTACGCATATTTCAATAAAATGAATCACACTTTTTGTAGTTCATGAGGGATTTTAGCTTGATGAATGTGACCCCTGTCTTGAAAAGTCTTGACACCATCCCCACAGGCACAGTTGTTGATTTTTAAGTATTTAATAAATGCATTATGAGTCGTAATTTGTAAACAACACCTGTGTAATGTGTTTTTGGGCTCCTTCAGATCCTCCATGAGGAATGGGCCAACTACGGAGTCATGTTTAAATATCAGCCAGTGGATCTGATCAGGTACCAGTTTATAGTTTCTTTCCTGCTCTAGATTCTGACTGCAGATTATTACCAGACTATCTGTAACAGAGCAGGTGCACTGATGACTTTATTAGTAGAAAACATTTATTTTTCACATTAATAATGCAAGATAAAAGGTACTAGTATGCTCATCATGGTCAAAATCGCCTTTGTGTGTGAAGGAAGTACTTTGGAGAGCAGATTGGGTTGTATTTTGCCTGGCTGGGTGTTTACACTCAGCTCCTCATCCCTCCCTCTGTGCTGGGCATCATCGTCTTTCTGTACGGCATATTCACTGTTGACACCAACGTGCCAAGGTAAACAGACTTGGCCTTTGTAAGGATCAAAGACTTTTAATAATGTGAAATAACAAACACTATTGTCTATGTCTTTTCACATGCATCCTTCAGTCTGGAGACATGTGATGAGAACCTGAACATCACAATGTGTCCACTGTGTGATGCTGTGTGTGACTACTGGAGGCTGAGTACGGTGTGTTCTCTGGCCCGAGCTTCTTACCTGTTCGACAACGGGGCTACTGTCTTCTTCGCTATCTTCATGTCGCTGTGGGGTAACTTGACACGCTGAGCACACACTTTGCAACAAGTATTTTACATTTCAGCAGGCAGGACCAGTTCTTTATTGTTATGCCATCAATGATCCTTTAGAGATTTTTAAGATTTATGAGGTAATATTACTAAGTACTTCCAAAATAAGACAGAATAAAGAAATGTGATCTGCCTTCAAGCCAATGTTTCCCAGTTTAAATGTTTACTTGTGTCAATCAGCTGACAGAGACAATAAGAAACCAAAAGTATATCCAATATGCAGAATAATCATAATCTTGACATTGGTCAACAATGTCCTCAATTGGTTATTATTAATAGTATAACATTTTATTGACGCAAACAAAGTAACTCAAAAAAATTATCGGTGTATACCTTTAATAAAACGTTTACTTTAAAGGGACTTTACGGAGTTTTGAATTTTTATGCTCGCGATTGCCCCCTCAGGCCAAAAGCGTAATGGCAGCTTCAATAGTAGGCTTGTGCACAAGGCGCGCATGCTGTACGTGCACACTCCTTAACGAAAATAACAGCTGAGACAGTCCCCTGTGTGTGTGTGTGTGTGTGTGTGTGTGTGTGTGTGTGTGTGTGTGTGTGTGTGTGTGTGTGTGTGTGTGTGTGTGTGTGTGTGTGTGTGTGTGTGTGTGTGTGTGTGTGTGTGTGTGTGTGTGTGTGGCCCGGGGACAGAGGACAGGAGAACGGGCAGCTAATTAATTAAATAAATTGGTTCTGTACCTTTCTTTTCAGCACAGCCGACAAAGGTTTATGATGGGTCAGTCCTCCTGCATGCTCAGATCATTCCATTCCCTTGCTTGAAAAACTGTTCCAAAATGAAAGTTGAACCCACATCTTTATTATCTGTGAATTCAATGCCGTTCGGTGAGTCTCAAATAAAAATTTGGGCATCTTACTGTAAAAAAATATACCATTAATGTAAAAAAGAAACTCTAAATGAACTATGATCATGTCCAGAATCGAACCCAGGTCTTCTGCATGAGAGTCGGACATCTCACAAGATGAGCTACACTCTAGTAACATTCACAGTATCTGTAACTTTTATATCTTTGATGACACCTAAAACGACGTCAAACCAAAGAACGGTTCAAAGCGAAAATGGCTATTTTGTTGCTAATTTGTAGGAAATATCTAGAAGAAAGCGTAAACAGCTTGTCAACACCAAATCCCTTAAATGCAGTTTGTTTTTTTTAACATGATGAACACACAAGGCTTTCAAACTTTTTGGACATCTCCTGTGATTTAGTGCAACACATTCGGATTTAGTCTGAGCAGTTTTCCCTCACAGTCCTTCCCAGATCAGAGCGCAGTTGAACAAAAGTGAAAGAAACTGGATAAACATCCAACATTGTTGTGATAATATTGAAAAAAGAGCATAATTTAAATGCAGTTATTCAAACTCCTGAAGTAAAACTTTACTTCTATGAGCAAATTACCTTGAAAAAAGAATCAGTAAGGCAGAAAGAAATGTTATCTGTGATTTCACATTTTTCACTTTAGTTCAAACTATTTCGCTTGTATTTTTATCTTCATCTTTATTCATTTTCAACAATGTTTCAATGGATGTTTCCAGAGATTAATGGTAAAAGTCACACATTGTCTCTTTAATGGGCTTGCTTTTTTCTAATGAGAGTCTGGATCTAAAAGTATAACATAGCGGTCTCTGTTAGCAGGATGTTTTAGCTTCACCTTTCAATAATTAAAAAGACGTCTTGTCAGATTATGTTTTAAGTTGATGGTTGGGTTATCTGTCTGTGTTGCAGCGGCTTGCTTCCTGGAACACTGGAAGAGGCGGCAGATGTGTCTGAAGCATACCTGGGACCTGACCAGTCTGGAGGATGAGGAGGTATGAACCCCCTTTACTCCTTTTTTATCTTGTAAAAAAGAAGAACACCTCCCTCGTTTTCATCCTCTTCAAAGCAGACTCGGTAGTGGTCAGACTGAAAACCTCACATCTCAGAAAAGACTGTTGATCATCCTTAACCTGTTAGTTCCCTGTAGCACAGTGAATAACACATAGTCAGCCACACATGTAGCATTAGCTGTAAAGGTCTGTAATGAGATTGGTCTTAATGTCAAAGGTCACTCGTTGGGTAAGATGACACAGCAGGGTCGCCGCACAATCATCCCCTGACACAGCTATTCTTTCTTCTCACTGTCTTTCATGAATTTCTGACTCTTAAAGGAGCGAGTTCAGGTAGGAAACACTGTCTTCCGCTGTTTTAGACACACTTTTAAAAACCTTTTAATCAGCTCTTATTTCTTAAAACTCTCCCACTGTCTTCATTAAAGATAAAATTATAAATGTATGAAATTATGAATTATGGTTCCCTTTCAGATCTATGTAGACGTGGGTCATCTATAGTCAACATGTTACTAATTATATTGTTGATGCTTTTTCAGAAATAACTTCTGCTTAATATCAGCTACCAGGTTAACCTGGCAGAGCATATTTTAGCCTCAGAGTAACCAACAAAACATTTTTCATGACTATTTTCTTGCTGAGAACATGCATAACAATAAAGATGCAGGAGCATATTTTCTGAAAGTTTGAATCATGATTTCAACATAAACCACTATAATAAATATGACTTTATCTGCAGCACATATATAAGTTTATAAAGTACATATTTGATTATGTGATGATTTATATGTCTGCAGGATGAACTGAGGCCTGAATATGAAGAAGCTCTTCAGGAGAAAAAAGCTAAGCTGAGAGCACAGGCTAAGAAGAAGGTAATTTTTACACACACACACACACACACACACACACACACACACACACACACACACACACACACACACACACACACACACACACACACACACACACACACACACACACACACGCACGCACACACACACACACACACACACACACACACACAACTATATATAGGGATGCAACGATATGACATTTTTAAGCTGATCCCAATATCCAATATGAATATCGCTGTTATGGCCGATAACTAATATCTTCCGATACCGATATGTACACACTGACATTTATGCTTCTCAAATTAGCAGATTTTGTATATACTGACAATTATGCAAGCTGAATTTTTTAATGACTTGCTTGACACACACACACACACACACACACACACACACACACACACACACACACACACACACACACACACACACATGTATTTATATATTTATATATATACATTTATGTATGTTAACGTGCAGCACAAAAGTTTTTGTTTCTCAAACAGTTTTTATGCTGTGTTTTAGTTGACTCAAGCTGGAGAAGGTGTAGACGGAGAAACAGATCAGATGTTGGCCTCACAGGTATCACTGCTCTGCTCTGAGTCCACCTTAGGTTGACAGACCTGCTGAAGAATTTCACAATTTGTCCTCCACTGGAAAAATTTATTATAAAAGCAGGTGACTTAGCTTGTTTTTAAATGATCACAGACGAACTCTGAATGCATGACTTAATGTTTGTACAAACTGAACCCTCCTTCTTGCACCGTGTGTGGTTGAGTCCAAAGCAGCTTACCTGCCTGAGATTAGCCCAGATTACTGATGGAGACATTTAGAGGGAGGAGGGAGAAGAAGAAGGGGAGGAGATTTCTGTTCTTTCAGATGGTGAACATGCTCCTTCCACAACACAACCACGTGTTTGTGTGCAGAACATGTGCTCAGCATTACAGCTCATCACACACAGCAACACACCATGAAGCGTGTGTTTGTTTTTGTCCTTCTGTTAAGTAACACACGTCCTTATCTCCACAGCAAGAACCAGAGTCGCTGGACATTGAGGACCACCTGTCAGGTTATTTCATCAATGTGTCCGCCTTACTACTACTGGTACTGAATTCAGACTCACTTCTTCATTTGCCATCTGCATCTCTGTTGATCCTCTTAGTAAATGTTTGATGAAAATGAGATGAAAGGAGCATTGTTGTATTTTTATGTGACATATCAAGCATTAATTACAACTTGGCTGATTGTTTTTAGCGGGGGTGTCAATCACTGGTTTGATCGTGATGATTCAGTGTTTGCCAATATCTCAAATTCAGTCACAAAAACATTTTGACTTGATTCGATTTAAGATTGTAACGACTGTTACATAATGTATTTTGGGGGTTTAATTATGATCAATAAGATGTGATGATTCTATATAAATATAGAATATCAACCTGATTGATCTTTGAATGTTTAACCAGAAGAATTTAGGATGCTTTGCTTATTCAGTGACCATAAACACAATTTGTATTAATTCAGAGTCAAGTATATAATTAAAATAAACTTTATTTTCTAGACTAATTATAATACATGGCAAGTTATGAAACGATGTGAGATGGATGAATATGTGTGGATGGAATGTGATTTTTATCAGAACCTTTGTATCTGGAAGAAACTGAGTTCTGAGTGTAAAACAATTTGGTCTGCTATAAACTAGAGAGTTGATTTATTAATGAAACGGCATCAGACGCAATCTGTCGTGTCTACAAACCTGATCGGAGACCCTCGTGTGATCCGGAATTTCAGGAAGTTTGGGTGGACCTGAAGGCTTCGAAGTTCGTAGAAAAATCACAGTACGACCAGTCCAGTCTCGGGTTGTCTCCAGGTCACAACAAACAGGAAGGTGTTGCGTCAAAGACGGACTCTTAAGGAGTCGAAGCTGTGTCAGCTTTGCAGCACGCAAACAGGTTTTGACAGCTTGTCAAAAGCTTTGGTGGTTTAAAGAGTTTCCCTCCAGATTGGCCACTCTGAAGTTCGCCTCAAAAACTCAATTTGGCTCAGTTGAACTCTCAACTGGACTACACGGGAAGTGATCTAAGTTTTATTCATTCCTATGTTATGATTTTCTGGCAATCCACATCGTGCCATGTTAAGGACGTTTTACCAAACAAACCTCAGAAACACTCCTTCTTCAGATAAAAGATGCTGATTTGTGGATAAGAAAATCTCAATCTCAATTACAGTAGCCTTGTGTCAGGAAGATGCACGTGTGTGTGTGAGCTTGTCATGATTAACTCGTCATATCAAACATTACTGATCATAACATATATATCTTTCAATGTTATAATAATATTCATTTCAGCTTCATTGATTTAGGCACAGATTAATCAAAACATCACTATTATTCAACTATTATTGTTCATTCAACCATACGATTATTTACATATTTTATTTAGTCATTCAGTATTCATTATTATAAAAGTTCATTCTTTATTCAGAGTGTGAAATCCTGCAGTCATATCAGAAGATAGCTTTGTTTGGGAACACTGTGTTGACAATCCCAATGTCAGCACGCACTGCAGAATCTCTGGCTTGTAGAAGATAGAGTAGCAGCTCCACTCGGATAATGGACTCGTGTCTGTGGGTGACCGGTCACTATGAGGTCAATAAATATAGGTGAAAATGGACCCTTTCTGGACATTACAAGATCCATTAATTGATACGAAATGATTTTACAAGTAATTTGTTTTGCGGTGGGAACACAATTTCTTCGTTGTTTTCTCACTACTTGCCATGATGTCATTAGTTTCTTCAAAACACGTTTGAGGATGTGCAGAAACACATAAAGTGTGTATGATTAATACTAACAGGCGAAACCTCTAAAAGTCAGAATATGGTGCAAAAATCCTTTCATTTCAATAATTCAACTTAGACAGCGGGACCATTTGAAGGCTCAGGAGCGCGTGCGTGTGTGTCTGCTCTGTCTTTTCAAACCCCCAGTTAGTTAGTTAGAGCTAACTTCTGCTGGGGGTTTCTTCCTGTTAAAGTGGAGTTTTCTTCTCCACTTTAATTACAGGAATCTGCTGGGTTACCATTTTATGTCTGATCTGAAGGGGCAATGCATTCCAAAGTCTCGGCCCCGCCCCTTTAAAAGCTCTCCCCCTGACCAGATAAGTGAGCGGGACTTACACGAGGTTTTCTTACATAGGAAATGTTTTATTGGCATAACAAACTGAACTCAGTGCATGGAAAAGTGGGTTCAACTGGAATGTTTACTTTGTAAATTGCTTTGAGATGACTTTTGTTGTAAATTGGCGCAATTTAAATAAAGCTGAAATAAATAATCATCAAAATTATAACCAAGGCTTGAAATGTCTGGCTTTGCATGAAATGAGTCTATCTCATATATTCGTTTGTCAACTTTTGCACCATATTCTCATTTTTCGAGTTTCACTTTCTACTGAGCGTTACATTTGGGTCAATGACCATACAATGGATTGGTGTTGATGATATTTATGTAGTTTTCACCAGTCACAATATTTCTTATTTTATTGACAAAAATAAAATTTCAAATCAAAATAGACTGATCCTAAATTACCCATCAGTTCACTCCACAAATGAAAGGCTTGTAAATTAGAGAATGAAAGGGATTTTTATGTTTTTTTTTGACAAATGTTCCTGGTTTGTGTTTTGTTGATTTTCAGATTTTTGTGACCTTCTCAGCGGTGTTTGGGGTGGTTGTTTATCGTATCTGCATGTTGAGCGTATGGTCCATGAACCCTGATCCAGAAGCCAAAGCCAGTGTCAGGATGACTGTCACCACCACAGGCATCATCCTCAACATGCTGGTGGTTCTGGTGTTGGAGGAGGTTTATGGAGCCATCGCTGTGTGGCTGACTGAACTTGGTAAATAAAACAGAGAAATTTAGAAGGATAAATTACAAAACTAAATGCAAAATTTTTTTTCAACTCCAACATTTTCTACAGAACTCCCTAAGACAGAAGAAGAGTTTGGAGAAAGGTTAATTTTTAAGTCGTTCTTCCTAAAATCCATGAACGCCTTTGCACCCATTTTCTACGTTGCCTTCTTCAAGGGCAGGTTTGTTTCCCTCTCTTTTTGTGCAAACTCAAACCGTTGTCTGTCTTCAGTTCAGATCAGGCCATCTCTTTGAACAGGTTTGCTGGGCGACCTGGTGATTATGTTTACATCTTTGAAGATTACCGCATGGAGGAGGTCTGTTCAGCTTGACACACCACTGAAAATTGTTCTTGTGAATTCTTATGTCAAGTTACAATATCTTTTTTACTTTAGGGTTGCAAAAGATTCTCTTCCTTTGTGTGTTTAGATTATGTCTGACTGAAAACTTCTGAAAACAAGCAAGAGCACATTTTTTAAGTCTACATTTCAGTCACTCATTGCAGATTCAGTTTGCGATTATTCATCCTGTTATTGCGTTATTTTATCTAAACTAGCTGTGCCAGTTATTCAGCTGCTATTGAAGGGGAGAAAAGGGATTAATCCACATGACTTATCTGTTTGTTGCATTCTTGATAACTTTCAAACCACCCTTAATGAAACATAATACTTGCCTGGCCAGCCATCCTATATACGTGAATGTATAGTCTGGCCACGACCTATAGACAGAGCTCAGTAGTGGGGTGGGATTTATGGCTGTCTTTCAAACTGTCTCCTCATGCTATTGGACAATGAATGTGACATACTCACCACTACAGACGTCAGTCAAGGGAGCGGTCTGCCGTACGCTGTCGAATAAGACGCAAATGCGTCTGTTTTTATAAAGCATCCTCTATCTGCTCTTGACTCAAAGAAAAGCCAAGTCTAAAAAGTCCAAAGTTGATTCCAAAGTTGTTTCAAACAAGCCGTCGCCACATTTGTCGTTTCACTCAGTAGCAGTAACATCCCTCCCATCGAAGCGATATAGCTCTGTGATTGGCAAGACACTAAACTGCTCAGGCGAATGGTAAACCTTCCGAGGCTATAAAGTAGCGTGGCTAGACTGGCCTGCAGAGCAAACTCATTTAGCTAATACTATGGCCTGTCTAGATTTCTAGGATAACATAATACAGAACACTTGTTCAGCAAAAAAATAAAAATAAAAAATAAAAAAATGGACTCCAAATGATCACTTATTTAAGTTAAAGCCAAACTTTTTCCATATTTTTAAATAATTTTCTTGAGCCAGTATGTGCTAAAATGACACTTTAGGGTTACCCAGAATACCACATTTGCAACTTTAGTGTGGCATGCTGGACTTAAAAAAAAAATTAGCTAACATACCTGCAGTCTGCTTCCAGCATGTTTCATGCATGTTTTAGATCTTGAACACAGCTGATTTGTTAGATTTAGTGAAGAATCACTCCTGTTGACACTAAGAAACGGTGGGGAGACGTTTCAGCAGTTAGATTAAGGTGTTAAAAAGAGAAATGCACAGCAAAGAGGTTTTATTTTCAGTTTGACTACACAGAATTATTAACAAACACTAGGGGGTGCTAAAAGCAAGCAAACCTGCCAAGTGCCTTCATCACCAGGTAGGACAAATTTTACAACCGCTTTTTTGAGACTGAATCCTAAATTTGATCCCATGAAGGCTTGAAGATATTTTGAACTGAAATTCCAGTCTTTATTTATTTTTTTGTTCCAACTGAGCAGAAACCTGCGTATATAAGTTGGGTAAATGTTTACATTTAGCTCAAAACTAATGAGTGTTTTTGTGATCCACAGTGCGCTCCTCCGGGCTGCCTCATTGAGCTCTGCATACAGCTCAGCATGATCATGCTTGGAAAGCAGCTCATTCAAAACAACGTGTTTGAGATTCTCATACCGTATGTATTTATCCTTTGATCCTTTTAATTCCCAACACACTTAGTTTATTGAACTTGTAAATATCTTCAACATATTTAACAGAAACTTCTAGAGAACCACTGTAAAATCCTAAAACTGCATTTTATTATACTTTTGTTTTATTTTCTTCATTTAGCAGCACTCAGATCAACTGCTTAAAGAGACAATGTGTAGTTTTTACCATTAATTTCTGGAAATACCCACCAAAATGTTGTTGAAAATGAATGAAATGATGCCCAGTTGTTGAAAAATATTGGCGGCTTTGTAATTTATACCCATAAAAACAGGGTCTAAAATACATGGGAGCGGTTCTAAGTCTCTGGATGACGCCATATTAGATGCCATGTTTCCTTCTACAGGAGCCCATTAGGACAAAGTGTATTTATTGATTTGAAACAAATGGTTACAAAACTTTCATCATTCTAAATGTCATTGTCTTACGCATTTACCTCCACTTTTTGCCAGTGATTAAAGGAAATCTGATGAGCTTGTTATTTTGCTAAAGTTTGCTCTCCCCGGGGCTTTTTGACCCTAATGGGCATCCATTGGTAAGGTCTTACTCTAACACAAAAATACTGCTTGCTTGCAATGATTTAAGTATGTACTGCCCCCTATAGCCAGGAAAAATACACACTGTCACTTTAAGTAAAATTTGTTTCAATTCTTTCTTGAAATACAAAAAAAAGTCAATACTTCAACATCTTCTTTGTCATACTGTTAAAGTTTTCAGAAATTCATGAGGTTTAGATAAAGTCCTGTTTTACTTACGTCTGTGTTTTTGTTCCCCTGCTTCATTTGCCTAATTTTACATCTTTGTTATGAATATTTAATTATTTTTAGAAAGCTGAAAAAGATGTACAGAACAATACAAGAGGAAAAAGGAAAGAAGCTAGCAGCGGAGGACGAGGAGAATGAAAAGGAAGAGAAAAGACAAAAGCAACAGTTTGACAAAGATTTCACCCTTGAACCGTTTGAGGGTGTCAGCCCGGAGTACATGGAGATGAGTGAGTCTCGTTTAGTTTGTCACTCATTTACTCACTAATTCACTCATTAAGTCAATTAAATTCTGTGTGTTGCATCATTAAATTACACAGTAATCCAGTACGGATTCGTGTCTTTGTTTGTGGCTTCCTTCCCGCTCGCTCCTGCTTTTGCGTTGCTAAACAACGTCATCGAGATTCGCCTCGATGCTGCAAAGTTTGTCACCGAGATCCGGCGACCCGATGCTGTGAGGTGTAAAGATATAGGTACAGATTTATTGTTTCTTCTTCTTTGTGTTGAATGTGGAAAAAAAAAACTTTTGTGTCTTTGTTCTACTCTGATTTTCCATTTTCTACACAACATTCACACACACGCTCTTCCATTTCCCATTTGTCTCTGTCCATCCTGTCTTCAGGAATTTGGTACAACATTCTGTGTGGAATCAGCAAGTTCTCTGTCATTACCAATGTAAGTGTCCGTGTGTTGTTGTTGTTGTTTGTCTTTTCTGCCTACAGACTCAAAAATTTGCTTTATTAACATTTTAATAAAAAAAACATAATTTTTATAAGAAGCCAATTAGGGTTAATAACAGAAAGAAAGTCAAAGATGTTTTTTTTTATTTCTTACATTTCTTTAATAACCTTTTTCTTACTAGTTTGTTGTGATGGCTATTCCACTCAATTCCATCTATTTCCAGGAATATTTCTGTCAAAACACAGCATAAAAATAAAAACTAGCAACTTAAAATGTATTTTCTCAAATACCTAAATTTACATTGTTGTTCATCAATGAATAGCTAGCAAGGGTTAATCTTTAAAGCACAGTCCTGGTGAGTCGTGTGTTGAACAGCTCTAGGTTGCTAAAATAACTCAACACAGCCCACTGGGCAGCAAATACACCAGCAACAGAACTCCGTTCTTGTTCTTTCTCTCTTTAAATGTTCTTTTCTAAGGAGTAACTTTAAATTAAATCATAGGAACAGACCGTTGCTTTGGTTTTCTTTAAAAATGTATCTCTAACCTGCTCATTTAATAGGAAAGCAGTGGTGAAACCTGGAAAGTGTTAAGGCTTCTCTCTTTTTTTTTATTTTATTTTATTTTTTTTGGGAACATATGAGTTTAAAGAGAATAGTTTTACACCCAAATTATCTCAGTGCTGCAAAAATCATGTGTTTAAAACATGATTTTTTAACAAAAAAGAAATCTCTTTAATCCAATAATAATTTCAAAGCCTTTATTCACATGAATAAGGTAAAATTGCTGTTTAATAGATGACAAGTAAAAAAAACTAAATCTTTGCACTCCTGCACAAATGAGATCTGGTAGCTGGTGCTTTTAAAGTCGTTTTGCTGATAAGCGAGGCAATTTGCAAAAGGGTTTCTTTTATTTGTTTTAGTTTCCTAATGTTTATAAAGCTTTACCACACCTTTTTACGCCTAGTTGTGGGCTAGCAGGAAGTCATTGCCTTCTAGAAATGTGCACAGTGAGTTCATGACAAGTGCAAACAATAAAGCCTGAAGGCTGTGCCTCCATGTGTCAAAAGTCAATACTACTACTGATTTTAATCTTGTTTCGAAGTTTTGTTTGCTGAGTTTCATAAAAGTTTATGTGCCGACGTTAGCTGCATATCTTTATGCTGAAGATCATATTCCAAGTTTATTTTTTCACAGGCGTTCGTCATCTCCTTCACATCAGAGTTTGTTCCACGGATGGTTTACCAGTTCATGTACAGTGTGAACGGCACCATGAGCGGCTACACGGAGCACTCGCTGTCTTATTTCAATGTTAGCAACTTTCCTCCTGGCACAGCACCAACCACCACGCTCATCACAGGTGTCAACATGTGCAGGTCAGTGATTCTACTAACCTTGGCCTTGCTTGATCTTCCTTTAATTCTCTTAGCCTGCCAGCTTAACCTTGCATTTACTGAGAAATGTGGCGTGGATTGCAGGGTCTTACTGATAAATGGTACATCTTACTAGTAAAGCAGTAGGATTGATCAGCTTTCAGTCTTACTGGTAAAGGCGGTTCTTTTGTAAATAGTCACTGTGTGTCTGTGTTTGTGTTTTAGATATAAAGACTACAGAGATCCACCATGGGAACCGGATGCCTACACCTTCTCCAAACAGTACTGGTCTGTCCTTGCAGCTAGATTGGCCTTTGTCATTTTCTTCCAGGTACCTAGCTCATTAGCAATCATCTGTATTTCTGTGTCACCTTCAAGTCTGTTTTTCTTTGATTACATCTTTGTTTGTTTATTTATTTATTTAACAATAGACCTTTCTTTAAAATATATACAGGATTTTTTTTTACTTTTTGGTGGAGGAGTTTATGTATCTCGGGATCTTGTTTACTAGTGAGGGAAAGCTGGATTGAGCGGACTGGTGCTGCGTCTGCAGTGATGTGGGCATTGTACCGGTCTGTCGTGGTGAAGAGAGAGCTGAGCCAGAAGGCAAAGCTCTCTTTTCACCCACTGGCTCGGGCATCTGATTAGGATGGCTCCTGGACGCCTCCCTGGTGAGGTTTTCCAGGCAGGTCCAACCGGCAGGAGGCCTAAATGGAGACCCAGGACACACTGGAGGGACTGCGTCTCTTGCCTGGCAAGAAAACGCCTTGGGGTTCCCTCGGAAGAGCTGGCCTAAGTGGCTGGGGGGAGGGAAGTCTGGGCCTCTCGACTGAGGCTGTTACCCCTGTGACCCAACTCCGGATAAGCGGAAGAGAATTGATGAATGGATTGGCTCACTTTCAGTTTTCCCCATCAGCAAGATACAAACTACGGCACCACATTCACTCTGAGGTTCACATGCAAGCTGAACTTGAAAATGGTCTTCGACCCCTATTTCCTAGCCTACAAACCTAGAACAACAGTAGCATAAGCAAAATGATTTAGCTCTGCATTTCAGTCTAGCCACGCCCCATAGGAGCCACAGCAGATCTACAATTGGCCCAATCAGTTTTGGGTTATGCCAATAACAGCGCTCTATCGGTTTGGTGGGTGGGATGATGCAACAAAGCGAAACATCTAAGATGGCGGCTACTTGTTTGAAACGGCTTTGGCATCAATCCTGGACAATTTAGATTTGGACTTTTCTTTGAGTCCAGAGCTACTCATGTAATTTACTTAGAAAAGGATGTATTTGCATCTTTTCTGACAGTGTGTGGCAGACTGCCCCTTTGACTGAAACCTGTAGCGGTGAGGGTCATATTGTTCATTGTCCAAAAGCCTGTGGAGGCAGTTTGAAAGACAACCATGGATCCCGTCCCATGACTTAGCTCTGTATTTATGTCTTGCAGGCTACGTTACATACTGCCTGCATTTCCTGCGGAAAGAAAATAGACGGGGAAACTCTCGAATTAGAAAAAGCCACACAGATCTACGTCACACTGTAAATTAGGATTCGTGGACTCATCCATCTTTGCTTGTGACGAGGAAGGCTGTGTTGATTTTTGCAGCCAGGAGAGAGTACCGGTAGATATCTGCTAGTAGAAGCTAACTGTTAGCATTAGCAACTCCACAAAATGGCAGAACTCCTTCAGGTTTGAGTCATCTGTGTAAATCAAACACCAACATTGCAGAGTGAACGGAGACAGTGGAGGAGTAATGCTGCTATTAGCCAATCAAAGGCGAGATGTCAGAATATCAGGAAATAATAATGAGTGAGACCCCAGCAATTTTCTGAGATTTATGAGATTTTGTAAATTTTATTAACACAAAAACTTTACCACTTTTCAATAAGAATATCCTTATAAAACATTAACAACAAGAATACATAACTGATTTAATATTTATGTCATATACTATATAAATTTTTAATAAACAATAGGATAAATGAAAAAGACAAAAATCACAAATTTTTGCCAAATAGTCACCTAATATTTACATATTCAGTGTTTGCTTAAATTTGTAAGGATAAATAAGACGCAGCAGTTGATCTTGCCAGATCCTTATCTTCCATCAATGTGTTTGAAAGTGTCATAAAATAATTTTATATTAATTAATGAATTGTTCACAAGGGAATTAGTTACAGAGCATTCATAAATAACTTATAAAAAAATCTCATGCCACTGAACCAACATCTCTTACCACTGAAGGAGTTGAGTATCTATGACAGAATGACACTCTTAAATCCGGGAAATGATACTGCAAGGTTACAGACTTCCTTTGAGCAATTCTTTGTTGTCTTGGCAGAGAAATAAGAGCTTAGCCAGACTGGATGGGAAGCATCAGTGCACAGCCAATTATCCAGTCTTTCCAGAGCTGCTCGACTGGGTTCAGAGCCAGAGCCTGACAGGTCTTAACTGATTTGTAATGGAGCCGCTCTCGTGCTTTCCTGGCAGTGTCCTTTGAGTTATTGTTCTGTGGAACTATAACGCTTGTTATGAAATAAATCTTGTAAATGGTTGTAAATTTCTTTGTCTAGTGTTTAAATTCAGCTTGGTCTAAAACGTCCTCATTAAGTGCTGCAGCCGTAGATGTGTTCGACTGTGTGAAGATGATCCTAAGAAACGCCAACCTCCTGAATGAAGTAGCGAACCTGCTTTTTGGATATTTTTTCTGCAATTTAAAACCAAATTTCCATTTCCTCGACAGAACTTGGCTATGTTCCTCAGCATGCTGGTTGCTTGGATGATCCCAGATGTGCCGCGGTCACTGCGAGATCAGCTGAAAAAAGAGAACATGGCTTTGATGGAGTTCCTGCTTAATCAGGACCAAGAAGCACGTGCCAAATCTCACTCTCCACAATGCCCAACCCCTTGCTTCCCAGCCAGCATAGATGTTGTAGTGGATGCTGCACCAGACGAGGAAGAAGATGTGTGCCAAGTGGAAAAAGATGAAGAAGATGAAAGAGGTGAAGTGAGGGTTGAGCTCAGTCTGATTGAACCCGGAGAGAAATATGACCATAACCCAGAGGTTGGAATGTCAGTAGAAGATGTTGAAGAAGAAAACGAAGTAGAGCAAAATGATGCTAGTTTTGAAAGTGGTAAGGAAGACGGTGAAGAACATGAAGATGTGAGTAAAGAGGAAGAAATGAAAGAAGAAGTAAAGGAGGATGCTGCAAAGGCAGATGAGTCTGAGAATTTCACTGTAGATTTGGACTCCTTGGTGCGTGACCTTGGCTTGTTGGGTAAGAGTAAATGTATCACTACATCATTTTATAAATTCACCTCTTCAAATATCTATAATCATGTTCTAAATGATCTAAGCTAGCCTGTGTCTTGTGCTTGTTCTCCATCCAGAAGAAGAACCTTCGTCGAGCACGTCTGCAGACGTTGAAGTTCCTCGCTTAAACTCCAAAGACAAGAAACTTCCGTCAAATCCTTCATCACAAAGAGGCTCATTGCAGAGTCTGAAGGGCTCCAGAGCTGATCTTACATCATCAGCTGTTGAAAATAGGATGTTCGCTCTAATAGCTCCTCCTCCCAGAGACTCTGACCCAAGGGTAAAGTCCCGCTGCTCCACCCTCCCTTCTCGATACCGAGGGGCTGAGGCTTGCTACAGCCTGCCAAGGCCCAGCCTCTCCTCCAGCCTCACCAGGCTCCAGCAGCAGAGCGTGATTTCTCCCTTCATTCCTTTGGCCCCTTCCTCAACTAAATCACCCAAAACAACTTCTCTCCCACACACGCCTGCTTCACTGTCATTTTCACAGCCTCAAGTGGCTCGAAAGCCCCATGCCTCAAGTGAACTATTTGTGCTGAAAAGCACCCCGCCTCAGCCGCCACATTCCAGGGTCAAAACCCGGTGCTCCACCCTGCCTCCACGACAGAGAGCGCCCGGCTCTGAGGAGCCACCTGCAAGGCCCAGTCATTCTAGCAGCTGTGTGAAGCTCGGAGACCGCAACCCACCTCCGCCCAGTGAACTGAAGCGCAACGACACACCAGGATGAGGCTGCAGAGGGAGGGGAGGACTACCCGCATTAGCCTCTTGTGTTTGTGCCTAGGGCTACATCCTTCTTGTTGTCCTCTACATCTACATCCGGTTTCAAACAAGAATATCCAGATCAAATGGACCACAGTTAACAATAGTCAGTGGTTTACTAAAGAACAATAAAAAATGGACCAGGACATCACTTTGTATTTTATTATCTGTTTGGGACATTATTGTATTTTATTTTTATTTATTTTTTCATGTGTGTTGGTTTGTTTTTCCCACTCAATAGTGAAATTCTTGGATTTTCAGCAGTTTTTTTTATGTTTTGTTGACACACCTGTAGCATCGCTGCTGTGTAGATCAGTGGCATGATGACAATATCCACATTACAGCCTGGATTCAACAGTTACGCTTTGTAGCTTTGCAGTTTCATCCTAGAGGTTTTGATATAATCACAAATTGAAAATCTAATAAAAGAACAACTTTTTCTAAAGTCATTGTTTCTTTTGAACTCTCGTGATTGGGGGGTGATTAAAAAAATCTTTCTATGATTCACAACCAGGAAAGGATTTGCCTGATCATTTTGGATGCTCTGTTTTATAAAATTAGGACATTTTTCAAGGTAAAACACTAGTAGCCTGTTTAACCTTGCTATCACATTGCAGAAACAGATTTCTAAGAATTGTTTTTACTGTTTTTTAGACATTTGAGCTTATCTTTAATCTAATATGAAAAACAAAACCACCAACGGAGAAGTAAAAGGAACAATATGGGGAGAAACCAGTCTCAAAGGATCTGCGAGTGATATTCTATTTTTCCACAGAAAAACTTGTTTGACTCTTCAACACAAATGAAGCCCACGCTGCACCGTCATTTTAAATAGAAGCCATTATAGTTCATGAGAGTGGGGAGCGCCACGCCGAGGTGCTGAATCTAGGTGCCAGTTCTATCTCAAGCTGTTTACAACATTGTGGATCACTTTACAACAGACATTACGATGCAGGACGGCTTTACGACACTAACCCAGCCGCAGTTTTGATAACTTTAAAATAATATTAATCTTAAAATATTTGAATAAATAGCATGCTTACCCACTGTTAATGAATTAGAGTCTCACAAAACATGACGGCAAGTCTGATCACTTATAAACAGTAGAGTCACGGTGCGTCCGCTTCTGGTACGCCCCAGACCTAACGCCAAAGAAAATTCTCATTTCTAAGCTTTCACCCATTCAAAGCACTGCTTCACAAATCTGTCTGGCAAGAACAGAGTCTCAAAATCCTTTTTGTACTTGTAAACCGATCTGTGTGTAATGTAGTTTTGTTTGTGTGTGCCAGGTGATTGTGTGTGTGTGTGTGTGTGTGTGTGTGTGTGTGTGTGTGTGTGTGTGTGTGTGTGTGTGTGTGTGTGTGTGTGTGTGTGTGTGTGTGTGTGTGTGTGTGTGTGTGTGTGTGTGTGTGTGTGCGTTCAACCATTTGTATGTGTAGAAGTTTAAGTTACACACGTAAATGTTAAAACAAGTTAGAAATCAAGTTACACATGCGTAGATCTAAATACACGCAGATCTTTAGTTATACACACATAATTTTTGTTACATCCACACACATTTTGTCATGCACAAACAGATGTACACACACACACACACACACACACACACACACACACACACACACACACACACACACACACACACACACACACACACACACACATACACACACACACACACAGATATTTTGAAACTTGTTTCTCCCTATAGAAGCGTCTCTGTCGACATGTGTGTGTGTGTAAGTGCAGTCCTGCAGACCGAGAGGTTTAAACTCGCAGGTGCAGAAAAGGGATGGAGGAAACCTCATGTGAACTTTAACATTGAAACTGACCCCAAGGGTAAAATATGTTAGCAATTCAGGAGAAGAATAGGGAGGGTTAAGCTGATTATGTACTGATTTGTTGCCTTTGTTGCCCTTCTGTGGTTTGTTTATTATAAAAACATAATTCACTTTTCTGTATTAAACACAGATTTCCCCATAAATCCTAAAAACCTCCACCACATTTAGCAACTAATAGTTCTTTGCATAAAACATTAGAGGGAGGTGTTTTGCCCCACCTTTTGTCCCTTTTTTTATCTTAATGTGTATATGTGTCATTCCTCATATCTCTGTTGGCAGAGTGATGTTTCACTCATTGTCCTTCTGGGTGAGGGAGTTCCTCTTTCTTGCATGGCTCCTCCTCTGTCCCAGTCGTGAATGGGGCCTTTGTGGGGGCTTTTTGGCATTCCACGTAGAATTTGTGCAGGTGAAGGTGCGCAAACAGTCCAGCACACAGGCGACTGCTGGAGCTTAGTATTTACAGGTTGAAAAAGCAAAATGCTCCGAGGGGCAGCTACCTGTTTGTATTTGCTAATCTCTAAAGACTTATAGCGGCTGTAAAGGTGTGATCAGCAGAAACAAAGGGGGAGGGCAGGATCCAAATCTTTCTAACCAGGTGAGAGACCACATGCATGGTTTAAGTTTCACTCAGTTCAAACGCAGCAAGGTGGATTGTCCGGTTTAGCAAAAGCTCTGGCTCAGATTATTTCCATGAAAGGCGGCTCAGTGCGTCTAGCATTATTAGGAGAATCAGACGTGTAATATTTATGTCAAAATACACTCAGGTCTAGTTGCTTTTTTACTGATACAGCTCTGACAAGGCTGCTGTCCTTCTCCGTCTGATAAGCGTGTTCCAAAACCCGTTCAACTATCTGAAGGACATTTTATTCTTGATTGAAAGTGTTTCATTGGCTTTATAACTTTCATTGTCAGCTTTTGCTCTAGAAAACGCTGGGTAATCTTGTTCGTCCTGCCTCTTTAGTTCACTGCACAAGCCTTTTTTTTCAGTAACAGCCTGGATTTTCTCAGGCAGATCACAGGAAACACCACCATAACCTGAACTGGACACTCACAAGGTGAGACGCTTCATGTTTACGTTGTGCATTTTCTTCCTCTGATGTATTCTCTGGTTACAAATAAGTTCACTTGAAGATTTGGCTTGATAGAAAATATTAGCTGCATACATTCTGTCTATTATGAAGCTTTTTTATCCTTTGTTGGAACTTGTTAAAGCATCACAGCCTGCAGGTATGTAGACTTTTCCCTATGCTGACTTATTAACTGCCGAGTTTGCCCTTTACCAAGAATTTCTCCTTGTTTATAGTTATTTGAAGAGCTCTGAATGCACATTTGAAACAGGTTTTATTCTTGCTCAAGTAGCACCTTTTTATCTGAACTAATGAACAGAGTCTATAAAAGAAAGGACTTTACTTCTCTTTAATCTGTCTTCATCATTTGTTAGTGTTTCTTTATCTTTCCTGCCCTTTGCTATTTGCTCCTGCAGGTCTCTAGTCTCCAGTGTAATTTATCTATTATAACCGCTCCATTAAACATGGATTTAACCTCAAAACTCATCGTTGCCAATCATTTAAAAAAATCAACTGTTTTCTTGTTCTGAAATGATTTGGATGGAAGTTATAGTGGTTACTGCATTTTCAAACAGATTTTTTTGGCTTTCCATAAATACAAGAACATGAAAACCTTTCCACACATGTTGTACATGAATTCTAACCTTTCTCAGAAGTGTTTTTGTTAATCCATAGATTTGTAAAATTCATTTTGATCTATTATTTACCGTTTACTAATTGCTGAGGTATGTATCTGAAAAACAAACTTGTAATTGTACTTCAGTATCATATCATTAGTATTTTATGATGGCCATCGACCAGACTTGGAGATGGATAAAGTGGAAGATAAAACAAAACAACTGGCCCTCTAGTGGCAGGGTGCAGTACAGGCAGATTTCACAGTGGTAGCTAACATCCACACACAGAATAGAATAGAATAGAATAGAATAGAATAGAATAGAATAGAATAGAATAGAATAGAATAGAAACACAGACACGGACATTCTAATACATCCGGTATTGCACAAGTATTGAACACATACTTAATGTTGCACTGACGTTATTGTGTACCAGGATAATGCCAGTACCACTGAGGAGTCATTCACTCTTGCTGCAGAGGGGATGAATGACCTGTGGCAGTGTTCTGTTTTGCATCTGGGATGTCTCAGTCTGCCTCTGAAGGAGCTGTCCATGGTCTCCACAGTGGAATGCAGTGGGTGGGAGGGGTTTTTCAAGATGGAGGTCATCTTCACCAGCATCCTCCTTTCACACGTCTCCTCAACTGAATCTAGTGGGCAGCTCAGAACTGAGCTAGCTTTATTAACTAGCTTGTTCAGTCTCTTCCTGTCTCGAACAGAGCTGCCTGCACCCCAACAGACTACAGCAGAGTGGATAACAGAGCCAGCAACAGGGTGATAAAATAATTTTAGCAGAAGGGAATTAACTCTGATGGACCTCAGTCTCCTCAGGAGGTGGAGGCGGCATTGGCCCTTCTTATACAGAGCATCTGTGTTGTTGGACCAGTTCAGTTTACTGTTGAGGTGAACACCCAGGTACTTAAAGGTATCCACCACCTCAATGTCTGCTCCCTGGATGTTTACTGGTGAGTGAGGAAGAGTGTTTCTCTGGAAGTCAATCACCATTTCCATTTTCTCACTGGTGTTCAAGCAAAGCCGGTTACACTCACACCAGTCCACAAAGTCCATCAAGACTGACCTGTACTCTAGGTCATTCCTCTCAGACACACAGCCGACAATGGCTGAGTCATCTGAGAACTTCTGGAGGTGACAGCTGCTGGTGTTGTAGGTGAAGTCCGAGGTGTAGAAGGTGAAGAGAAAGGGTGAGAGCACCGTACCCTGTGGAGCTCCTGTACTGCATACAACCACCTCAGATGTACAGTTATGCAGTCTCACGTACTGTAGCCTATTAATTGATCCATGGTGGTCCATGCAGTCAGATGTTTGTCCACTCCTGCACCCCTCATCTTCTGCTGCAGTAGACACGGCTGGATGGTGTTGAAGGCATTTGAGAAGTCAAACTATTCATACAGCGCAAAACGCACTGACAGAGCTACGTAGGCACAATAAATAAGCACATCTGACACACACAAAAAAAGAGTACTTTAAATAAATCCAATGCTGTTTATCAACTTAAAGGTATGTTAACCGACACATCTGATTGTGGAATTTTATTGTTCATGAGCTGTATTTATTTTTTTATTGTCTCATTTTAGCACCATGTTGCAGACAATCGGTGAGTGGTTGTTTTGGGAACGTCTGTGGCTGCCTGCAAACGTCTCCTGGTCAGATCTAGAGGACAAGGGAGATCATATTTATCCTAAAGCATCCCATCTTTACGCTGCCCTGCCCTTTGCCCTCTGCCTACTTGTTGTCAGATGCCTGTTTGAAAGGCAAGAATACTGTCAGTAAATGTGCCTGTGTGTTAGAGAGCTAGGTTGTTAGGATTATGTTACCCAAGCGTAGAGCAGAATCAGAAAATTCCAGTGTCATGTTGGGAGGAAGGTTTCAGAGTTTTGTGTTTCTGCTTCAGATACTTGGCCACACCACTGGCTAATGCCTGGGGGATCAAGGACAAGATACGACTCACAGCCGAACAAAACCCGGTCTTGGAAAAGTTCTTCTGCAGTCAAACGCGAAGTCCATCACAGGTATGTTAAAAGAGGCAGTAGTTTAGCATTTGCGTAATCGGTGATAAAAACATACTTTTGTTTGCAGTTGGCTGTTAAGTTGATTGTTGGGTTTTTAAAGTCAAAAACTACTCTTCAGAAAATAAAACTTCTGTTGTGATAATTGCAAATGTTTAAAATCACTTTAATGTGGACGGACTTCCTGTTTTGGGTCTCAGGCTGATGTCACATCTCTGTGTAAGAAGACCAGTTGGCCACAGAGGAGAGTTGAAGTGTGGTTCAGGAGGAGGAGGAATCAGTATCGGCCCGGTCTTCGGAAGAGGTTCTGTGAGGCCAGGTGCGTGCATCTGTGTGAGCGGACTTTTGCACAAATGTAAGAACACGCGTGTCCACGCAAATGGATGACATCACTGTTTTTGTGGTTCCAGCTGGAGATGTGTATTTTATCATTTTGCATTTCTTGGAGGAATCCTGGCCCTTTATGATGTAAGTTCTCATACATTTTTGACTTTTCCTTTTTTGTTTATTCTCTTTGTGGACACACATTTATTCTTTGTTAAAACTCTCTTCACCCTCTTTTTGTTGTTCCCACTTCAGAAACCCTGGTTTTATAACCTGAGAGAAGTTTGGGAAGGATTTCCACAACAGGTGGGTGGTTTTATTTTTATTAACAGGCTTAATTGTATAATTTTGTAAGCAGGATGATGGAAACGTCTTTGATTTTTCCATCTTCATACAGTCTATGCTGCCATCACAGTACTGGTATTACTTCCTGGAAATGGGCTTCTACCTTTCTCTGCTTCTCAGTCTCGCTTTTGACGTGAAACGTAAAGTGAGTGTTCTCATGGCATCTGTTTTTACCTGTTGAGTCCATGTAATCTTTGTAACTTACTATTTAATTCGTCTTTACAAATTCTTAGTTTTGCATGGATGTATAATATTTCATTCTGTGTATAAAAGAAGGCGATTTAGGTTTTGTGTGACACTGATCTAGTTAAGCTGTCATCTGCATGTTTACAGGATTTTCAAGAGCAGGTGATTCATCATGTAGCGACGCTGACTTTACTGAGCTTCTCCTGGGTCTCAAACTATATTCGTGTTGGAACCCTTGTGATGATGCTTCATGACTCCTCTGACATCCTGCTTGAGGTCAGTGGTCCTCTAAGAAGATTTCAATAAAACCACATGTAAGCCACAGGTCAGGTAGCAATATGATGACGCACGCTGATCTTCAAATTTACAAATGTATCTATTCTAAGATAAGATTGAATGAAAAGTTTCAGAATTGGTTTTCTTGATGTTAAATTTAAATGGTTTTACAGAAAATTGTTTGATTTCTGCATTCATCACCAATTAAATAATGCAGTGCTTTTCCCGACACCTAGTGTGTGTAATTAAAAGACTCCAAGGAGAGGAAACAAAGATTTTATTTGAACTTAAATCAAGACTGCTGCAGGTACGGGGATTCAGAGAATGTTTAATGGTCAAATGAAGAAACTGCTTTTTAGGATGCAGGGACATTATAATTAAAAGAAGAATATGTTCGGGGATAGTTAAAAACAAAGGTGGGTGGGTGACATTAAAAACTTAAAAAGTGATGATTAGCTGCAAAGCAAACATGACAACAGATGCAGAAGAACTTGTATATTTTCGGGTCATGACAAATAAGATTTCTACTGCTTCTGCTTTTGAAAACTCAAAATGACCCTGTGTCTTCATTGTTTGTTCATCTCACAGGGTGCAAAGGTGTTTAACTATGCAAAGTGGCACCAGACTGCCAATACCATGTTTGTGGTATTTACAGCTCTTTTTATGGTCACAAGACTTGTTATTTTTCCATTCTGGTAAGTGCAATAAATACATAAAAAAAGATAGTTGTAATAACATGATTAAAAAAAGTGTGTTTATCTTCTGCAGGATCATCCACTGTACATGGGTGTACCCAATGGAGAAGTGCTCCCCTTTCTTTGGCTACTACTTCTTCAACATGCTGTTGTTAGTTCTGCAGATTCTCCATGTCTATTGGTCTTTTCTAATACTGCGGATGTTTTATAGGCTTGTATTCACCAAGGTGTGTCAGTGTGCATGCATACTTTCTCACTAAACGTGTGGAAAATAATTGCAAATATTTAATGCTGTTTTGTCATATCCTCTAAAATATTTTCCGTGGATTGTTTTATTGCTGCAGCTGGAAGGTGATCTCCGGAGTGATGAAGAGGAGGAAGACAACGATCCACCAGCAGAAGAAAATCACAAACTGGGTCACATAAATGGCTGTGGGGCCAGAGACCGGGGCAGTGGTCACTGATACATAAAGACAAATGTCCATTTCATAATTGGGATGCAGCAGTTAAATCTAAGGGTGAATAAAAAAAAGTTGACAAATTATATATATATATATATATATATATATATATATATATATATATATATATATATTAGGGCCGAGACTCGATAAACAATTTTAATCGAATTAATTAGAGGCTTTGTAATTAATTAATCTAAATTAATCACATTTTAGTCGTTCAGAAAAATGTGCCCTCAAAGCAAAAATTTTAATTAAAATTATGAGACAGAGAATCAAACATTAGACATGGTTATTACTGTAAACTAAAGCTTTTAAATTAAAAAATGCATTTTAATTATTCAAATGTCACTGTGTGATGTGAAACAAGACCCAAATCAAATAAAATCAGGGTAGTGAGGATACGGAGCATTTTCCCAGCTGCAGCCAGGTGCCTCTCGTTTGTCTGACTACTTTCATAAACTACTGTTAGGGCAAAGAATTATTCTTTCAGGTGCTTTCAAATTTATAGTTAAAATTATAGCTCACCGCTACTTTTGTAAAGTATCCGGTGCCACCGGGCAGCTGCAGCAGAGATGATCTCTGAAAAATGTCCGCGACAAGGACTCCGTTGTTGTCTGGAAGTTTATTTTTTCATAGTTAAGAAAAGAGGCGGAATTGTTTCCTATATCCTGCATCAGTCCAAGCAAGGCAACTTCTTTCTGTTTTTATTCTGTTTTAGTAGCCATTAGCGCTGTGCATTGTTGTGTGTGCCAGTGATATTGGGTCTACGAGGAAATCGTGCAATGACAAAGGTTCCACCTTGCTCGAAATGCAAGCTGTGATTAAATGCATGAACTTTTTTAACGCGTCATTTTTTTCTAACTAATTAATCAATTAACGCGTTAAAGTCACTGTCCTAATATATATATATATATATATATATATATATATATATATATATATATATATATATATATATATATATATATATATATATATATATACTTTAAAGACAAATAAGAACAAAACAATTTTTTTCAGACTTGAATAAAGTATAGAACATGTTCTTCTATGTTTTCTTGTGTCTTTGTATACTTAGAGGAACAAATTTATTTACACACACACACACACACACACACACACACACACACACACACACACACACACACACACACACACACACACACACACACACACATATGTGTATATATATATATATTTTTTTTTTCATTTACTGCCCGTGGCAGCTTTGCGCAAGTGGTGCTCGCTGCAGAACCACAAAGGCGGAGCTGCACCAGAAGGTGGAGCTGCACCAGAGTCAGCCCCGCCCATTCCAGAATCAGCCCCGCCCATTCCATAAGAGTCAGTCCAATTCCTTCTAGTTGTCAGACTTGATAGCATTCTGGAACCAAAGAGGGTGTTATAGCTAAAAAATTGAGGACGGAGTTGAGAAGTTAATTGAACAGTTTTTGTAAAGGTTCCATATAATTAAAAATCAAACTTTTGGAACTTTTAATCATGTTATATTGTCATTTCCTCATAAGAAACACGCCAAAGCCATTTTTGGCCTCATTCATGCATTTTCTTCCCATCTCAGCTTCAATTTGGTCTCCTCCCCCGAAGAGGGTCTGGTCTTGCTTCTCAAATCTGGATATTCTGTGAATTTTCTGACAAATTATTTCTTAAATGACTTCTTCTGAGACACCGCCGGAAAAATCATACATACCATCTACAAAGACACACCGGATAGGACAATCAAATGTAACGCCACATGACCTTTTTAAGATGTGGTGGTGTAGTGGTTATAGAGTCAAGTTGACATGCAGTTTTGCGCAGGTTCGCCTCCCACTAGCAGAAATATTAGGTAGCTTACAACCCCTTTTCCTCATTTCTAGCTACACTTGCCAGTACTATGTTTACAACAATTTACTGGTATACCGTTTAACATATAATGACTAATGTGTTTATTTATTTATTTGTTTATTTAGCCAGTGTGAGTCCATTTGTGAGCAGAGTTTCAACTAAAATACTGTTTAGGAACGACCAAATTCAAAGAACTTTTAGAGACATAAATATTTTGCTGAAAATAAACATTACAACTAAAATATAAACAAATTAAAATGTTTCAGCTGGCTAAATGGATTGTTGCCGACCTCACCGAGAATCGAACCAGCACCAGCTCAGGGGAAAGCAAAACTTAAGTTAAACGATCTCGCCACTGGACTACCAGAGCACGTACGTAAGCCACAGATGCTGTTGTACACCACCTTTCTTGGAGCGGCTGTGGGTAGATATTCGTTAAAAGAAACCTTTTCATTTCGAGATATATTCAGGCTTTGTCATGTAGCAAGTTATATTTATCTTGTTTAATTGAAGCATAGAACATAGCATTAACGACTGTAAACTAGTAACAGCCGTAATTCATGTGGGTCAGGTTAGTTTGCGATAAAGTTGGAAAAACAAAAACGGAAGTCAGTGGGCTAGACTGAGTTTGCGTGAATGGGCGGGGCTGACTCTGGTGCAGCTCCACCTTATGGTGCAGCTCCGCCTTTGTAGGTCTGCAGCGAGCACCCTCTCGCTTTGCGTGGTAGCCAGGATCTGAAACGTCAGCGTAGTTTGCGGTACAAGAGCGCCCTCTGGCGATAATTACGCCGAACTTTTGAGAAGGCTGTTACCTTGGAAACCAAACCAAACTAACCTTTGTTTTTAATCCACCGATTCAGTACCGTTCTTCTGCACTGGAAATCGTTTACTGTAGTTTTTCCAATGGCTCATGCACGACGATCAAGATCTTTGAAGGGAAACTGGTTTGAAGACCGAGTCTTGGATGAGGTTTGTGAAAAAGAAAAAAAAAAAAAAAAAAAAAAAAAAAAAAAAAAAAAAAAAAACATTCAAGCGCGTCCGCATTTGTCTTGGAAGCTATTTATACGCTTTCACATTTTTATAATTTTAATTTAATAGTCCTATTTTATTACGTTATCACTAAAAGTGCTATTGAATTTAGTTGAGTGAATTTAAAGTGCAGTTTTATTTAGATAAGAGTCTTTTCCAAAACAACTTCCTTTCTTGTGGAATAAATATAATCTTTTTATGCTTATTAACTAAGTTAACTTGCACAATTAATACAAACTTGTTTAAGTACAACATTTGTTCTATGAGGGAATAAAATAATTATGTTGGTCAAATTGATAAAAAAAAAATCCTTCTATGGTAAACCTAATTTCAGATTATAAAATGTTCAAGTGCATTACTAATAAAATGTGTTATTATTATTATTGTTATATTATTATTATTATTATTATTATTATTATTATTATTATTGTAGTTATTATTATTATTATTATTATTATTATTATTTAAACAGCTTGAATTTTGTTTATCTCACTTCATAAGATTGATATAATTATTAGCCTTTAACCTAATTAAAGACATTTACTATACTGGTTTTATTAAAACTGTCAGTTAAATGCTTTTGTTCACAATGGACAGTTTCCTTTTCCTCTGAGTTGACACAAAATATTTGTTCCCATCTTTCTTAGGATAGTAGGAAAGATTATTTAGAGAAGAAGGAGAGAGGTGAACTTCTTTCTCAACAAATAGACCTCCTCAAATGGAACATTTTACAACCGGTATGCATCTCAGCTCATTTTAAATCAAATTGAAACCACTAATACTGATGCAGTAATACAGAATTTGCTGTGCACATGTGTAGGTGAATCTCTTGGTGACAAAAGATGGAGAGGTGCATTTTGGGGATGTTGTGATGCTGATGAACAAGGGAGGAGAACATAGGAGCCGCAGCATTCTCAGCATTAATGCTAATCTTGAGAGTTTAATAAAGAACCCATCACCAGCCATTAAATCTCCATGTGGAGTCAGTGCAGGAAGAGTTATTCAACCCAGCACTCGCAATGCTTTTATTGTCACAAGGTAAGCCTCCTTAAAATGACATCAGTGTGACCTTAACTGTAAATATTTGTTTATTACCATGTAAGCCTGCTTTTGTTGTAGTGTTGATGGCAGTGCTGAAGGATCGACTCTTCGTTTTGAGCAAAAATTTGCCCTAAGAGCGACAAGTGGTTTTGCCAGAGGAGTAAGTGAACCGTAATCAGAGGTGCTGTGTGCTGACAGGCAGAGCAGAGTAGACGCCTCCTGGCCACAAGGGGGCCCCAGAGAGCCAATACCTCTTGAAATCAGAACTGAAACAGTAGGGAGACAGTGAAAAACATCATTAAAAACATAATTAAAAGGTGTGGATCATTGAAAAACATTATTTTATTATAATTTCTGATTATAATCTGTCACTTAGAATTTTTCATGCAGGCTGAATGTGAAATTAGCCACCTACACGTATCTCCTGCATTAGCTTCTGATTTGAACATCCATGATACATCTACATCACACTGTCACTTAACATTCATGGATCCACCCATCTAGGTTTAGCGTCCAGCAAACAGCAGCAAACACTTTGGCTAGTAGACGCTAACCATTAACATTAGCAACTCCACCAAAACCCCTCCAGGCTTGTGTTGTTTATGGAGATAGAACACCAACATTGCAAGGCAAAAAGAGTCAGTGGTGTTGCTGTTATCCAATCTAAGATGTCCAAATGTCAGGAAGTAAAACTCCATATCCTGTCATTTGAAGCTCAATTCTGATGAGGCTCACTTCATCAAAATGGTGCACTAGAGCTTACAAGGCATCCATTCTACCTAGAGACCACTGCAAATGTATTGATTAAACGAGTAAACCATATATTTACCAACACAGGTGGCCATATCACACTCCCTTTCCCTCCTAGCGGAAATCAAATTAAAATGCATTTTTGACCATTTAATGAAAAGAAGTACACACCAGGACTGATATTATCATCAAAAAACATATTATACTACAAACTTATACTAACGTATTACTTCTCTGAACAACTGAGGCTGACCTTGATCTTTGTTATTCTCATCTTATGAAAACCACTTTGTTATCCCGTCTGTCGTTTCACAGCCCCTCACATGTTTTCTACTGTTTTTTTCCTCAGCTTTATTTGACAAGTGCTCTGAAAAACTTCCAAAAGGTACATCAAGTTTTAGTATAACTAGTTGCTGAATATTTCTAAAGTGAATGCAGTTTTTAATGTCATGTTGTGGTTTACAATAAAGTTTGCAGAAAAGTCGGGCCTCCAGGCCGTGTACCTGAATGACAGCCACAGCCCTCTGTCATGGTGGAGGATCGTGCACTTTGACCCCGAGGAGAGACTTGAATACAAGGATCAGCCAGTTCCTGTAAGTATTTGCTTTACATATAAATAACTTTACTATTGAACACATATAAAAGACAAAGTGTTTTCATAACCTCTTTTGCATTTTTACAGGCTGATGAGAAAGTGCTTCTCTTTCACTGTTGGACTAACAAAGCTCTAGCTGTTATGGAAGATCAAGTAATTTGGTATTATTTTATTATTTTTCTGTACTAATGAACACCAAATACTGTATCTTAGACTGGGAGAGCGATCATGGGCACAAAGTCTGTAATCTGTCTGGTGTTCCTTTCTTCCTTTTTAAACTCTGATTGAAGTTAAACTCTTTATTGTGTCTTGATAAAACACACAAAGTCACATCACAGCGTCTGCTTCTGCTGTTTAGTGTGTAACGGTTATGTTCTTGCAGGACAATATACGGTAATGAGTATGAGGTGACGGCTCACACGTTCCTGGACTCCCACAAAGTTGAACGGGACAACAACCACTGGATCCTGTGCACCAAAGTCCCTCCTGAAGACGAGCGTGCACCCTCTGACGCCCTCGCCATCAACATCCACAACCAGGAACTCACACAGCCACATTCAGGCACCCCAAACCAATATCTTCAACAATAATTTTACATGTGCAACGTAACCCAAACCTTTTCACATTTTAACAAAGATTCAGTCATTCAAGATTTTTTTTTTTTTGGCGGGGGGGGGGGGGGGGGGGGGAGACTCGGCAAAGATAACCCGATTATATGCCCTTTTCCATAAAACTTTTGTAAATTTGGCTAAAAATTTGGTAAGATATTAATAAAAGCTTCATACCAAGAGTGTGAAAAAAACCCAACTTGTCACATGCTTGTTATTTAAATGTTAAGACCCAAACTTGCAGCAACAGCCTTTTTAGCTGCACATGTCAGCTTTACTGCTATTTCCTATGTGTTCATATATCTGCTGTCACAATCCCCCTTGATTAAACTCCTCATGCATTATTGTGATACTGTGAAGGTTTCCTCTTGATTTCCAGCATCAGATTTCAGCTTTTTGCAGACTCAGTGTTAAATACGCAAGAAGGGTGATTGGGAATGACACACCCATTGGTATTTTAGTTCCAGCATGAACAAATATGCTTCAACATTTCAGTCAAGTAAGACGCAGGTGAATAAACTCTGTGATAATTGCTTCGAGGCTTTTGCAAGCCAAAAATGTGAATGTGTCTAGGAGTTGCGTTCTTGAATTTTTTTTTTGTTGTTGATGTAATTTTGTGATTTTAAATGAAAACAGCATAACATACAAGAGCTTTTCCCCATGATCAGCTAAAATGTTTTTCATTAAATATATAATATGCTTGTTTTTTTCTGACTTTTGTTCTGGAAAAACTAGCAAAATACAAAAATAAAGTAAAACATATAGTACAAACGTAACAAAAAATAAATGAAATACGCACAGTTAAATTAACCCTGCAGGGTAAGGTCACCATAAAGTCATTTGTTGACATTTTATTCGCATACGTGTTGCTTTTTGGATTTTTGGCATCCATAACATTTTTGTGGCAATAAAAAGAATTGTTACCAAGTTCTTTGACAGTATTCAGAAATAGCTTTTTTACTTTTTCTTTATGTGCATTTTTGTGCATGATAACAAAATCTCAGTTGTAGGATGGGCTGCTATATCAAAACTGACTAAATGAGTTCGAATCAAAGGGCAAAAAAAAACATGCAGATTAATAGGCTACTGTAATTTTATCACTTAGTCCATAAATATGACTTCAGATCAGGAAATAAAAACATCTACTGTAAAGATAACAAGCTGAGACATATTGGTCTATCAAAAAAATTGTTTTGATCAATTAGGAACAACAAATGCTGCTGGGACTTCTTCCTGTAGGACGAATGGACTGATGTGTTTAACAAGATGTTAAAAACTTGGATTTTTAAACTTGCTTTGGCCTCATTTTATTGCTTGTCTTATTCTGGTGTTTGTTTGTGTTCTTGTTTTTTTTATTCTAATTTAATGTGAAGCACTTTATTTGGGGCTATATAAAATGTACTTAAAGTAGTTCAGACAAGATAATTAAGCATAGCAAATACGGTAATATATATGTGTGTGTGTGTGTGTGTGTGTGTGTGTGTGTGTGTGTGTGTGTGTGTGTGTGTGTGTGTGTGTGTGTGTGTGTGTGTGTGTGTGTGTTTGCCTAAACATATTTTGTTCCCAGCATATATTTTGGGTATTGGTCGGGTGTGAAGGCCCAGAGATGATTATATAAGCTCTCACTTTAAATATCTGCAACCAGGAGCTGACACAGCGGCATCCAGACTCTCAGAACAAACAGCTTCAGGGTGGCCACAGACCACCTGCACCTTTCCTGCACACTGGAGAGCTCATTTATTGGGATAATCTTTTAGACCCTTTGTCGACTGATTTTTAAAATGTTCTTAATTATATGGATTGTAGCCAACATGTCCCACAGCCTACTCAAAACAGAGGGCACACCCTAGACTTGGTCATCACGTATGGCCTGTCTACACGTGTGCTCTCTGTTGTTGGCTGTCTCTGACCACTATTGCGTGTTTTTTAATATCACCGGTTTCACCCAGCGGGAGACCTCTGTGAGAACTGTCAGGAAACATCATCTAACCCCTGAAGTGGCTGCAGGTTTTATTGATATCTTAGAAAAGATACCTCCTATTGCTTTACCTGCTCCCTGTCATTTTATAGTGAACGATTTGAACCCCAGGCTTCAGTCCACCCTTGACCGTCTGACCCCCCAAAAAATTAAAAAGATACAGCCTAGACTGATACTCCCATGGAGAAACGAAGCCCTCAGAATACAAAAGAGGAACTACAGGGTGGCAGAGAGAAAATGAAGGAAAAACCAAATCGCTATAAACTATCAGATATACAGAGCAACTCTAAAGTGATACAACAACGCAGTATGGAACTCAAGGTATGCATACTTTTCCATAATCATCTCAGAAAATAAAAAAAAAATTCTTAAAATCTGGTTTTCCATTATAAAGTTTTTAACAATACCCCTGATGCATCTCAGAAAACACCATCAAACACTCTGTGAGGTCTCACTTCGGAGGGAAGGTACACAGTCAGATGCTACATTTTTTCTTCTCACAGTGACATAGTTTTATCAAAATCTGAGTGTGCACCCTTACCAGAGGAAATGCTGGACAGTTTTGCCCTGGTTGAGGCTGGAACTCTGGATAGTTTTCTCCTCAGTGAGGCCCACCATGTCTTTTAGATCCAGTTCCTTCTTCGTTTTTCAAGCCATTTTATGAATATTTTAGAGATGAGATTTTAACCATGATGAACTGTTCTCTTCAAACAGGGGTCTTTCCTGCTGCCTTTAAAGGGGCGGTGGTGAGGCCCCTTTTGAAGAAGAGAAATTTAGATTTGAGCGATTTTAACAACTTCAGACCGATATCTAACTTACCATTCTTAAGTAAAACTTTAGAAAAGCTTGTTTTAATCCAGCTTAATGATTTTATTAATGCATCCTTGAGAAATTTCAGTCTGGTTTTAGAGTAAACCATAGCACTGGAATGGCCCTTTTAAGAGTTTTAAATGATGTAAGAATACCTTATGATGCACAGAAAGTAACAGTTCTGGTTCTACTGGATTTAAGTGCTGCCTTTGACACAGTGGACCACAGCATTCTTTTAGCCTGGTTAACACACATCAGCCTCTCTGGTGCTGTCCATAAATGGTTTACTTCATATCTCACAGACAGGACTTTAATGATAAGTCTAGATACCTTCTGTTCTAAGACCCGTGAGATTGCGTGTGGTGTGCCCCAGGGTTCGATTTTAGGCCCAGTGCTTTTTTTAATCTGTATATGCTACCACTTTGTGGTGTCATCGGGCGACACAGAGTAAAATTTCACAGTTGTGCAGATGATACACAGTTGTTCATCTCTGTGTCTCCCGATGACGCACGACCATTGGATCCCCTTTTAAATTGCATGTCGGATATTGAATCCTGGATGGCAGAAAACTTTCTCCAGCTTAACTGGGACAAAGCCGAAGTCTTAGTCATCGATCCTGAGACCCAGAGAGAGAAACTTTTACCAAAGCTACAGTCACTAACTCTTAATTCGTCCTCTCAAGTGAAGAACCTGGGTGTAATTTTTTACTCTGAGCTAACTTTTATCCCCCACATTTAGAACAGTACAAAAATTGTTTTTTATCACCTGAAAAATATCGCCAGAGTCCACCCCTTTCTCTCTCTGGCCGATACAGAGATGCTGATGCACGCTTTTATCAACAGTAGAATTGATTACTGTAATGCCCTGCTTTCTGGTCTTCCCAAAAACTACTATTAAAAAATACTATAAAATTCAGCGGCTCGTGTCTTGACGAAGACCAGGAGGCAGGAGCACATTACACCTGTGTTAAACAAGCTGCATTGGCTTCCTGTACGTTTCAGGATCAATTTTAAGGTTCTTTTAATGGTTTTGGTCTTGGGCCTTCTAATCTCTCAGAACTGCTTCACAGACACGAGCCTTTGCGGTCCCTGCGCTCCTCTGGCAGCCATCTCCGCATCATTCCAAAAGTCAGGACACAATCCCAAGGTGAGGCATGCTTCCAGTTTTATGGCTCTCACCTCTGGAACAGTCTGCCAGAGAACCTCAGGGCTGTAGAGAGTGTTCTTGTTTTTAAGGCCAGGCTCAAGACTCACCTTTTTAGTACAGCTTTTAGAAGAAGAAGAAGAAGAAAATATCATTTCTATTGTGCCTCTCAAGATAAAAATCACGAGGCGCTTCACAAAAACAAAAAATGTAAAAATATTAAAAAAATTTAGAAAATGTTTAAAAATAAATTTAAAATGAGCAAAAAATAGACAATTGTGGTAAAAAATGTGAAGAAAGAGATAGAGTGAATAGGAAAGAGGGAAACCAGTGGATCCTGAGGAAGGTGGAATAGGTGGGGAGAGCAGAATAAAGAGAGAGTGGTGAAGAAGGTCATACAAAAGCCAGCTTGAACAAGGGAGTCTTCAGCTGCTTTTTAAAGGAGTCCACTGAGTCCACTGATCTCAGGCTCAGGGGGAGAGAGTTCTAGAGTCTGGGGGCCACAGCAGCAAATTATCTGTCACCTTTGGTCTTTAGGCTGTTGCGCTGCACAACCAGTAGGCTGTGATCACTGGACCTCAGGGACCTGCTGGGGGTGTAGGGACTAAGAAGATCACCAATGTAAGATGGTGCTTGTCCATGTACAGTGACATGTCCAGATCTTTTAAAATGGGGTGGCCCAGGTGAGGCACAACTTTGAGCATGGGTGGCACCAATGGTTATGCTTTTTTTGTTTTACCCCCAAGCCTTTGGGGACAATGAAAAGCCTATTTAAAGGTAAATTAGTGTGGTGGCACCTGGAGTGGCCAATCAGATTCCAAGGGTGGCATGTGCTACCCCAGTCCACTCCCTGGACACGCCCCTGTCCATGTAAGGCCCTAGAGACCAGAACCAAGATCTTGAAATGAACCCTGAAGCTGACTGGCAGCCAGTGAAGCTGGAGGAGAAGCGGGGTGATGTGGGTGTGTTTGGAGGACTTGGTCAGAAGCTGAGCACAGGCATTCCGGACCACCTGTAGACAGTTCAGGGAGGTTCTGCTCAGACACGTGAAAAGAGAGTTACAGTAGTCTAAGTGTGAGGAGATGAAGGTGTGGAGAACTGTCTCAAGTTCAGAGCGGGACAGAATG